TGCGGGCTTCTGGGCGACGAGTTATGAAGGTTTTTGTGAGTAAAAATCTGAATGCAATAATAAGGTGAAATTAATCGTAACCTTCCCCATGTTCAGAATGAGGCAGCAGCGAGTTAATATATTTGAATCAAGGGTATTTGTTGCACTGAGTGACCCGACTATAAATTAAGCCCTATAAAAAATCTTAGGACTGATTTTAGCCCACTCTTGCATTTAGATTTTTAGTCACAAAAGCCTTCATAACTCGTCGCCCAGAAGCCCGCAGCAGATAGCAAAGGTAGATTTGGAATCAGCTTTCCAAGCTCTACAAGGCAGTATACATCTCAATTCAAAAGGCCACTTCGACCAACCTTCCCTTCCTTGTGAGTCTCCTAGCAAAATCTAACAATAAGAGTGGCCACATCTCTGAATGTGGTTTGGCAAACGCGTTTTGACTCGTATACCGTGCATCTTCCAGAATTGTTCTCGTAGGTACTATCACCGTGGCTGTCTTTCGACCATTTTAACTCGTTACCGAATAAACGCCTTATGTTAGAGTTAAAGTGTTAAAACGATCAAAAGGCAGTCGCGTTGATGCTTCTCATAGAACAAATCGATGCACGATACTTGCATGACATTGCGTTTTCAATGATATCATCATGGAAGTTGGAATTACCAATCAATGGCTTGCCTGACGCAGAGCTGCCTCGGGCCTTGACTGCTGTTTTCCTTAGTTTTGATCAACTGAGGCAGTTTACGGGCCGACTGCGATGTATTATGTGAGCTTGCACAATTAGCCGACAAAACATTGAAGCCAATAATTAGGGTTTTATATTCAGGCTTGTCATCGGAAGTTACTAAACTTCACATGCGCGTCTAAAGGCCCCGCGTACCGATCTTGTAATCCGCAAACGTAGCAATGATAATTCGATGTGCACACATAGCTGAATCGGAGCAGGCAATTTTCCGGCACAGTGATTTTTCTCGATCGACAGCTTCGAGAAGTCGAAAACTTTGAGGTAAGTACCGCGGTCACCTTGTTCTCGCGCAACAGCTCAATTTACGCGTTTGTTTAATGCCGTTTGTCGAGTGCGAGTCTCGCACTTGTTGAGCGAGAAGAAGAAGAAGAAGAAGCTCTGTGCTTGTGAACACACAAACATACATTGCGCACTGTATGTCTTGTCTCGTCCGCACCTCCTTTCGAGCTGCGCCACTCACTCGATAACTGATTGCTACTTGTTCCGAGAATTATCTCTTGTTAAAGCCCTTCTTCACATCAGAGTAGATCTTCTCGTCGTCAAAGGATTTCTGTGATTGCTGGTGTTTATAGCTACAATGTGTTTCTGGGCAGTTTTTTGGGGGCAATGACCCTTGCTGGCTCACAAGGAGCTGAAACTGATGTTTTCCACTTTTATCTGCTTCAGACATATTTTGCATTTTCATCTACAATTTGGTTAAATCTGACCATTTTTTTTCTCTTATGAGAAATTCTATTTTCCTACTTGAAAAACATATACAGCAGCATAAAAAAATCTACGACTTTTCGACTATGACGAAGAGTTTTATTTTTTTTCAAATTTTCAACTAATTGGTAAGAATTATTAACAAAAAACTGCACGGTTTCTAGAATCGACCACCCTATATGTCCAAAATGGACTCTTCCAAATTATCCCAAATTTTAATAACATAGATAGCCATTAGGTAGCAGATCGACGTCGAAACTTAAGAAAAGCTGAGTTCTTCTCCAAAATTAATCAAGACGGAGGCACAGCGTCATCCCGATGCATTTATATAATTCGATCTATGTCAAGTCCTCGGCATTTTTGGTTAGCCTTACCCTCATAAGAGCTACTCTTATTCCCACGGAATCCTTGCCTATTCGGTGTATAATGCAACCAACAGGGGTAGGTTAATTTTTTGATTTTTTCCTAAACGTTAGAGAATCTGCATACTAGAAATTCAATGCATAATTTCATCGCTTCTATTGTCTAAAATAACGTCATACTTGAGCATTTTGGTATGAGTTTGTAATTTGAAAAATTAATGATCTTTACACATGACAATAACATTGCAAGCCTTCTTCAGAAACGAAGCAAAAATCATGCATGGGATGATTTGATTTCTCCTATCAAAATCAAACGCAGAGCTCATTCATTCGAGCCTAGCTTCATCATGAATTGGAAAAACGTCTCATATATCTTATAGCACGATAATTTTTTGACCCTCAAGGAAGAATCACCCGGCTGAAGCCAAAACTAAGTGAATGGTACAGTAGGCAACTTTCCCGATGTCGTACCCTTTTGACCCTGCTTATCAAGGTCTCACGATAAGTTTGCTATTGCTTTGCCTATTTCTGGCTTAGTTCTTCCATATTATGAATCGTAAAAGTGATTTCTTATTTTTTGCAATTATTGCTTGACAAAGTTGGCTTATAAGCAAGTTTATCGTCTTTGGGACAAAAAGCAATAGGGATATCGTTTTTGCATGTCTGAAAACACGAGTAAGTTTGGTTATTTTCAGTAGACGTTTCGGGTTTTCTAGGTTTTTTAGTCAGTTCGGATGAGGTTCAAACGGGCTTCGTAAAATTTTGTGAAAGTGAGAGGGACTCCGTTCCTTGTATTTTCGGAAAGCCACCTTGTGCCGAGCCCTGTTTATAAGCTTCTTCTCAGAATCCATGCTTCTGAATTTTTGTCTGCTAAGTGGCTAATTCTGTGTCTCTTTAAGCCGACACAGATTACATCGCTCTTGCTCAGAAATCATCTCAGACAATACCGTTTTTGTTTTTAACTTATTTTTATGTGTTCTCCTCAATGTTTACACTGACTACGAGCGCCATTGCTTGTGCAAGCGACTTACTGTAAGCTGCGCGCTGGTGCTTGGTTATGGTATCGATTTGGGAAAAACAGGAAGAATATCTTGAGCTTCAGAAAAAAACGTAAAAACGATCACCTATGATATTTTTGGGTTTCTCTAGCGTTTTTCACTTTTTAGTATTAGGTTGGCTAAAAAATAACTTCGTTTTGGTATGCAAATTCAAAGTCATAAAAAATTTTCTTGTGGTTTGTATCCATGATTCTTTGTGGAAAAGTAGATAAAAGCTTTCTCTATTACATATCAAATGTCTTGGTTTCTATTTATTTATTTATTTATTTATTTATTTATTTATTTATTTATTTATTTAGCTTTTCTATTTCCGAATTTATTTATTAGCCAACTCAATAGTTTAACTCAAAAATGACGTAACCTCAATTCCTCCCCTTACTTATTTCATTTTCTAGTGGTAGTGTATCTTAAAAGTGAAGTAACCGTAAATTTTCCTTTTTACTTAAAATATTCAAAATCAAAAGCGCAGTACAAAAAATTCAAACGTTGTTGTCATCGTTGACTTCAAAACCAATCAATGAAGATACATATTCAAAAATTTTTCACTGCAGCAAAGGAAGACTTACTACAGAATTCATGCGAAATTTTTTGAAGATAACAGACTCATAATATCTTTTTTTCAATTTTTCGAACTTCCATCTGTTTCTTTTTTCAAGCGCAGAATCATTCAATCAATACATTCCATTACATAGGTTTTCGTTCAAGAACTGCACTTCTCCAGATGTTTCGTGATCAACAGCAAAACAACCGATTTGATGTCGTTTTGTACCGTTCACTTTAGAAAACACCATCGATTTAGCAATGAAATAAAAGGCCAGGAATCTTACAAGATTCCTACTCGGTCCAACCAGGTGTCACACGCATTTTTTTGAATTTCAATTGTACCAAGCAGCATGAGATTTGTGTAGGTAAAACACTATGCATCGATCACTAAAAGTCTCTGATCCGCAAATTTTTCAGCAAATAAAATTGTAATCTTCTTAAGCAGGTAACAAATGACAGGTAACAGGTAACATGCATAACAAGAGAACCTGAGTATTACTGGACATCAATCCAAGTTTTGTAAGGCTCAAATATTCTCGAAATAGTGAAGTGACTCCCTGAAGCTTTTAGGTGCATATTGCACTAGGTTGTCCCAAAAGTAAACCGAACAAATCAAAAAAAATTTGTTTCCTTAAAACTGGGGTAATATTCGGTTGTATAAGCAAAATCTACATAATGACTACCACGGATCCACTTGACTCGTATTCTGTTGAAGTTCGAAGCCACAATCTAAAATTTTTCGGCTACCTTATAAGTCGGATCTCTTCAAAAAAATTCCTGCGGACCATTAATTTGGTCATCATACAGTAACATAATGCTTACAAATTCGCTGGATTCTTTCTGCCGCTCAAATGAATGATGCAAAAATATTTTGAAATACTAAAGTGCCACTTTTTTGGTTTTTTTCAATTTTAAGCTTGACATAATTACCAGAGCACAAAGAGCGACACACTCCCGTGAAGATACTTACTAGGATTCGCAGTATACAATACGAACATGTGGAAGGAGGTGGGGGCGGAGTTTGCCAATTTCGGCTATCCTTTATTGAGTATGCGCGAAAAAATGTAAGGCATTTTCAAGTACTACTATGTATCTTTTCCATGGTAACCAATTTGAAGCCTCATAGGATTCTTTTAAAAAGAATCAGTTTTCATGTGAAGATTTTTTACCAATTCTGGTTCCAAAATTTACTTGGATTACGACTTGGGTAGATTTTAGGTGGTCATTATGTAGAGCTTGTTACTCTATCGAATCGTCAAAAACACGAAAACGTTTACTTTTGGGACAGCCTAATAATTGTAGACCAATAATTAGTGGAAGTGTCTTCCCTATAGAGTTAGCTTCTCACAATATTTTGATATTGAGGATTTTTGAGAGGCCAAGGATGAAAGTCATACTCTCTTTTCCTTCCTCTTAGCTGCTACTCTTTGACAACAAGCTTGTGAACTTCAATAACTTTCTAGAATTGTCATCCAGTTGTTGCTTGGATCACTTTGATTAATTTTTCATCATTATCAAAATATCACCTGAACTATCTTGTGCTATAATGACTGTATACCTGACTCTGTTTTCCTTTTTTTATAGCTTTTCTTTTCAGGTCACCATGAGTGCTCATGTGGGAGCAATCAATTCGGTAAACGCTCTGATTGCCAAGGTCTTCAAACAACCAAAGGGAGACTTCGTAAGTGATTGCGCAACTTTGGGAGAAGGGGGGGGGTCCAAAGCAAAAATGTGCAATTTTTCCTTGTCCACTTCCAATATTCGGTTACTCAGACGTTGACAAAGAGACTTGCATAGACGCTCGGCAAGCAATGTAGACAACGCTGTCGGCAAACAAGACGCTGCTTCCGTAACCTCGCTATTCATGCGAAGCAAGAAAGAATCAAGAAGAGCACACTAAGGCTACTTTTCACCCTCTGACGCGTGCAAGAAAATTTTTTCCATGAACAGGGAAAAAGAGAAATTTTTCTAAATACCGGGTGATTTTAAAGCATGTATAGAATGTCTGATTGCTGATAACTCCTCTCTCACTTCCATGTAAATCGGGTATTTGTTTGTAGAATTGGAAATTGTAGAATTGAACCTTATTAACTAACCGACCAATAACTGCTTTCGTTACTGGAGAATTACGGTAGGAGTATGCTTTCACTTCGCCGTCATTTAAATTAGTCTTTCATATCAAAAAATTGTGAAAAACTGAAAACTTTCATTATGGGGTGTGCGAATATGCCGAATAATGAACTAAAAATTATTGACCAAAATAAATTTTCAAAGGTTCAATTTATATGGATCAATCAAGTTTGAGGAACATCGAAAGTTGTTACAGTACAAACCAACGATAGCTTCATAAGGCTGATTACGAATGTTAAAAGTCTTTTTGTAATCAGCTGTTGTGACCACTTAATAAAGGGGTTTTTAGTTATTTGAAGTCATGTTTCTGGCAAACTCTGAAGCTCAGAGACTTAGATCCCCTAGAAACACGTACCGCAATCCTACAGTATTTTGAGGGATTACGGTACGTGTCATTTATCCTGTACCATGATTATAAATTAAATCTAGCTCTAGAAAATGGCACTTAAGTGGAGGGAGATAGTAAGATCTAACAGTGTATGAATACTCTTCACATCACATTGAATGTATGTTCACTGTAGGCCTCTTATTTCTTGCTATAATGGTTATTAGAAGTATTTCAGGCAGATCGACTTAATTCAAGGATTACAGTAGTTTTACTAGCTTTTTCGTCTGTTTTGTTGCTATCGTCACACTTCTGGGGAGATCCAATCACATGCTGGACTCCTGCTCAGTTCACAAAACAATGGTTGGTTTGAGTTGAATAAAGACCGGAGAAAAAAGTTTATATTTCCTAAGAATTGAAAAGAGATGAAATACATGAATTTTTTTGCAGCGGCAGTACTCTGACAAATTGCGTTTTTGAAAAAGTTAAATTTTTTTTAACCAACCGAATGCAGTTTCTTCTTTTGCTGATTTGTTTTAATCTCCTTTTTTCTTTCCAAACTGCAAAGCAACTACGTTACAAATTTTGAACAAATAAGAATAAACTCGGATGTTGCTTCTTTTCATCGACTCTTTTCATCGCTGTCACAGCATCTGTGTTTACTTTTGCAACATGGTAAAAAAAAATTTTGAGTAGTCTCACCTGCCTAGGTTTTCTATGCATCATTTGCTGTCTTAATGTTTTTAAAGTTATTTGCAGGTCTGACTTCGTCAATCAGTATTGCTATGTACACGGCACGTACTTCGTTCCGCTGAATGAATCATTATCCTTCCATGAGCATGAACGAAGACGAATCCCCATCAATTATTATCAGTGGGTAGGTTGCACAGCATTTCTGTATATTCAATTTTATTTTCTTCACATCATTATACTCTCTCGCAGAACTAATAGGCTGGCTAACAAGTAATTTCTTTTGGACATGGAAATCTCCTTTGTTGCGGCTCGGTGGGCTCTGCGCCCCCTCACCTAGTGCTCGACTGCCTTGCGTCCAGCTCCTGTCCCCGAAGGACTTCCGCAGCTGCGGGTGGGCCCAGCCCACAACGGCGCGTTGCGCCTACACGAACACGAAACAAATAACATACATAAAATTTACTAAATAAATATGCACAACAAAAATATACGATATAAACAAATGTAAATATACATACCACGGGGAGAGTTAAGCTCTACCCCGGGCTACCGATGGGGACTCTGGCTTACTCACACTCACAAACTAACACACTCTCACTCTCCGGCATCCAAGGGAGCTACCCACAGGCCGGCCGCGCGCCGCCAAGGCAGCAGCTACGGCACGGCAACACCGACCCCGTGATGTTAACCAACAGCATCGAACCAAGCTCCCAACAAATCCTGCGCGGCCAAGGCGCTTCGTGATGTTCATCTTCCTGGAACTCTATCCTCGCGCATACATCCAAACAATCCATCAACGATCCATCCAATCGCGCGAGGCACGGGGACGTAGACACGACGACGATATCGTGGAAACCCAACCAATCAATAATAAAGGCGGCACGACGATAATGGTAAGATGATAAGGCGAGAGAGGCCGCAATGGCGCGCGTACGCGCTATTTATAGCGGTGGCTGGGAGCGTGCCTACGTGGTGTGGTCTCGGAGCGAACAAGGTAGCCGCCGTAAAGCGCGGCGACCGTGCTCACGACCGAGACGCGCGGCAGCACGGTGCTCCCGGCCACATGCTGTGAGGAGCGGTCGATCGCGAGCCGCGACACTCCCCCCACAACGAAAGGCATTGGGCGTTGCGGATAGGTGGTTACGTGATAGCACCGTGACCTGGGGCACCTGCCTTAACCTAAAAATTTGGGCGATGATAGAAAAAAAAGGAGCATACGGCATCGGTAGCGAGGGAACAGGCAGCAACCCGCCCCGTGGTAAAACACTAAAATAGACACAAACTACAGGCGCTATGGCGCGCAGTTCACTACTAGAATAAACCATGGCGCTCAAGGCGCTTACTAAATAAATATGGACAATAGCAAAAAAAACACTTCTACGGCTACCAGGCTATTTACACCGTTTCAGGACAGACTTTCCAGCCTATAGCGTCACCATCGCTCCATCTCGCCATTTCACCATAAATCTCGACCAGCGCTGATCTTGCTGCGCATCCAAACCGCATTACGTCCCTCGTGCCATCAACATCTAGCCACTCTAAATACACTCATACGTTCAACATCGAGGGAGCGTAATGCCCGAAACGAAACCTACCACCTGCGAACCTACATGACGCGCGTCCTGAAACGCACATCCTGAAACAAAGGAAACCTCCACCCTCTCTTGATTTTGACTTGATTTACGATAAAAAGGGCACAAAATAGAACGATAAACTGAGAGGGTGTTGGCTTCCGGACGAAAAAAGTACTACGTCTTTCCGGAAACATCCCCGAATTTGCGCATCTAGTACCCATCCGAACCGAATTGGACGAAGGTCCAGCCTCCCGCCGAGGACAAAGTGCCTCGACGAGGGATCGACCCCGCAACTCAAGGACCCGGGGGTGCGGCACTGTGGGCCTGTTCAAGGAAAGACGGCCCAACCTATAGAGCAGGTGTTACAGGAGCCTGATGGACTGCTCGCAATGGCTCTATGGTCTTGACTTAAACAAATGAGACGGCTCGTCCGCTGACGGCTAGAACTTCCTAAAGTAGAGTTACCGCTAAGCGCTCGACCGAGCAGCAATGATAAACAAGTTAAAATGATTAGCGGAAAATTTAAATGATGTTAACGCGCTACTACAACAGGAAGTATAACTAATACGGAGCTGACAAACTAGGATGTTACGCGGATTTACATGGCGCCATAGATGTTCGCGCTCCACAAGTGCGCCAGATGGTGTTAGTTGCCACGGTAAACAGCGTGACAGATCTTACATGGTAAGTAGGCAAAATATAAAAATATAATTTTAGAGGCGCGACAGTCAAAATGATGTTAAAATGCAAAAAGGGGAGTGACTGACGCGCAAATACACAACGTTAGTAAATTTAGAAATACAAACTGTAAAAAAAGGAAATTCAAAACAAACTTTAAGATTAATGCTGCCTACTAGTACTGTTCGAGTCCACACTGTCACCAGATTCGCCTTTCGCCTGCGTCTTGTGGGTTCGCCATAGGTGCTCGTCCACGAATCTCCATCAACTCGCGCCAGAAGTCGTCTTCGGACTCGCACGTCGGACTTCTTCCTACTCCCGGCTCATCGATGGCTTCATCGTCTTCGAAATATGTTGGAAACTGGCAAATCATCGTCCTGGGATGTTCCTGGTTGTTGGTCGGCGCGACCATGAGGCGCGCTAGAACTTCCCCCTGGGTGTTACAACATGAATCAACTAACGCGAATGACTAGTACTTAGTATGACGACTGAAAAGATGTTACTTTCTCAGTCCATTCGGCGCGTAACAATATATATAATCGCGCATCGATTCTCAAAAATAAGTGGAACTACTATGTACGCTGAGTATAGTCATAACCAATGATGGAACTCAAGCCAGGCTGCCAACAAGACGCTACAGCAGGCACGGGAGTAGGTGCTACCTGCAGGACCATTCCAACGTTCGTCGAAATCGAGTTACGCTGCATACCGAATGTGTCCAAATAGATGGTGGAACAATGACACAACAAAACAGTGATGCAGACGAGGAGTAAGTCCGAGCATAAGCCAAGCCAGGTAAAAGGGATAAATCCAAGAAAGCAACGGCAAAAGCCACGCGTGTAATCACAGCCGATGTTAATGGCTACGGGTCCCTGACGTAAGCGTTCACCGACAAGATAGCATAAACGCGTGTACGGATCGCGCGTCAGGTAAGTCTAAATTCGGAAAACAAATGCGCTTCGAGGACATGCTTGTCAATACACAGTAGTGGTCGCAGTTATACTAGCTGGCCAGACAAGTCAAATATACGAGCAAGATGGTAGTAACTGTAAATAAACAAGACACACTAACCCTGAGCGCAACAATTAAGCCAAGTTACTACCGGCAAAGAATATCCATGAAGCACGACTGACGCGCTAAGCGCAATATCTCGTCGAACGACGGTACAACTCAAAGACGAGACGAAGCCAACATAGATGGTAAAAAGGTGCTTCACTTGCCGAGGATGTAATCACATAAACTTGGCATGAGTTGAAGGTGCAGATGGAGTGCACAACGAGAGCAAAGGCGCGATACTACTGAGAGTACTTACGCGCGAAAAGGAGCTTGTAGATGGAATAGGCGATGAGAAAAAAGTCTACACTGCGCCAATAAAGAATGACATACTACCGAAAGCGCGCTTACAGGATATAACACAACAAATACCAGGATTGACGCGTAGTATAAGGAGTCCAAAAATGCGCAGATCATACTGGCGCACCTACAATGTACTGGACGCGCGCAAACGAAAAAAACAAGGTTGAGTCAAAGTCGAGTAAGTGATAGTCTTGCAGGTAGCTGGGCCAAAAAACAATTGCAACTACGCAGAACACTTACAGAAAACAACTGCAGGGGCACAGGATGAACCCAGAATGGAGCGTGCAGAAGGTTACTGCAATGAGCAAGAAGATGGTATTAAGCTCACGGCTCGCGAAGTTGCAAGAAAAACAAGGATACTGACTTGGCTGGGACACAGACTGCAACGCGGTAAATGACAGTGACTGCAGAGATGGAACAAGCTTGCTATACACCAGAGATAGAATACTTAGCGAAAAATACGAAGTCTACTGCCCTAACCGACGCTGAGGCCAAAAGAAACAAAATTTGCGCGAAATGAACAGTTGGGTCGCGCATACTATGAAAAAATAAGGAAAGGCTACGATTGCTTATTGCGTGCGCACAACAATAAACAAACATAGGAAACAAAGGGAAAAAGCGCAAAGGATCTGATGGTCGATCAAAATGCACAAGAAGGTGGGGTACACGCCGCCTAAAATGCGCGCTCAACAACGATCGTTTCAGGACCCAACTAAAGAAAAAGTAGGGGAATACGGGACAAAAATTTAAAAAAAGGCATTCCGCCGCAAAAAGAAAACATCCGGCCTGATGGTGAAAACAGAGCGTAAAGCTCGACAACGGCCTGGCACCAGACAAATCAGAACAAAAAGGAAGGAAACAGACGCTCGGTACCTAAATGGAAAACGGTAAGAAATTCTGCCTGTTTCCAATGGCTCTCTCTGTCATACTATCCGTCGTGTGACCAACGACATCGAAGATGTTCCATGCCTAAACGAAGCGCGGCGCGCTAGGGGGCAACACTCACACCCATCGGTAACCTAAAGAGAATACATATGATCATAAATAGAAACACAGAACACACTCCCTACTACGCATGCCAACGAATGACCCTACTAAACCCTTTCAACTTACCCAACCTACACCAACCACAGAAGAAAAAACAAAAAAAGAAGTGTAGTACGTAACCGTGGGGTAGCCAAAGGACGTAGGGCAAACAGAGCATGAATAACGACAGAGTGTCACTGAAGAGCCTGCGCGGCACTAAGTGGCGCGCGTATAACAAGGTACGGGAAAGGTTATCCTGTCGGAGGCCGGTCTGGAAACTGCTCAGGGCTCCTGTCGGCGAACGGAGAGGCCATCACTGATGACCCGTGGGCACTTGGACCATATCCTGCTTAAAACCGTGCTTCGTGCCAATTGCCGTCTTTCATCATCGTCCTGCTGATGGTACCTTCCAGCGTCTTGCACGGCAAATTCTATCCTTCTAGCACGGCTGCTCTCCGCTTGTACTAGGGGTGGTGGGCGAACTAAGGGGGCATAGAAACGAACGCGCAAGTGCGCTTATTTGCGCGAACGAAACTTACCTAATGGTACCCCATGTTACACTACGACGGGAGCCAAAGGCGACTACGAATTATTGATAACGATTAAAAAAGAAAAGGGGAGAAATTATACTACGGGGACGCTAATACGGTTTGTGGGAAAACTAAACTACAGTAGAGCGAAAGAAAAGAAGGTGGTGTGAAAGAAGAACTAACAGGAGACGGATCCAAGGACCCCTAGTACCCATCCAAACTCACAACTAACCCCCGAACTTGAACTTTTACTTAAAACCCCCATAGTAAAAAACTATAAAACGCAAAATACTTACTATAAAGCCCCAACTTACAAAAAGGAACTCCCCGTCTCCCCGGCTATGGTCCAAGCTCCTATATGTGAATATAGGACGGTGTCGATCCCCAGCTGCGGTTCTTCGCGCATCTCGATACTGCTCCACCTTCGCGCGTCCACCGATACAACTCTCTACGCAGCTCCATACCCCTTTCCCGTGTCGTTCCTCCTCTCCATCGCTCTTCCTTCGCCTTCGAACTAGCGCGTACAACGATACAGTACTGAAACGCGTTCAACGATACAACGCTGTGTACACGTACGACGATACGATACCTAAAGCGCGTTCAACGATACAATACTACATACGCGTGCGACGATACAGCTCTAAATCGCGCTCCTTGGCTTCCATCCGTCTGCCTTCCAACTGTCCATCTCCATACCATCTTCCCACTCAAACAACAATCCAACGTCGAAACACTCCTGGCGCGTACTCCGATACAGCTCTCTCGCGTCCTCCGATACAATCCTGAAATGCGCCTACAACGATACAGCTCCTCTTCGCGCCTCCACGATCTGGTCTTCTGCGCGCAGCGTGCTCGACGATACAACACTAAATGCACGTACAACGGTACAACTCAGGCGCGCTCGCGATCGTCCTATCCTCCGTCTTCCTGTTCATCCTCCTTCCATCCGGCATCCATCTTCCATCCATCGTGCTCCCTCAAGGCGTCCATCTGTCAACTCTTCCTATCCTGCTTCCCCCAATCCTTCGTCCAAATCCCAAAGACTCGACTTGTGCGGCCGCTGGTACTCTCCGGTACCCCCTATCGAGCCCGCCGACTACGACACCGGCCCTCCACCTGGGCAGTACTTTCCAAGCGCGACAGGCTTACCAGGTATCGCATGACGTGGTCGCCCGGCCGATTGGGGTTCTAGTTGGCAAGTTGCCACAGTCTTCCCGACTATCCCCCCGCGCTGACACGCCATGCTTCGCACCCTGGCTACCTTCCGGCACTCTTGCTACTGGCTACGTAGGTATTCAACTCTGCCTCTCTGTTTGCCAGGACTTCCTACTGGGGCGCTGAGCGTGGTAGCTTCGGGCTCGTTACGCACGCATGATGGATGAAATAGCGCGTTCCTTCGACAACACAACAACGACGCAACACACCGATGGCACACAATCTGCTCCAACTTGCGCGACTAACCCATCCGCGGGCGGCGACGCCATCCACCATGCGCTCGGCATCGATACACCATGTTGCGGCTCGGTGGGCTCTGCGCCCCCTCACCTAGTGCTCGACTGCCTTGCGTCCAGCTCCTGTCCCCGAAGGACTTCCGCAGGTGCGGGTGGGCCCAGCCCACAACGGCGCGTTGCGCCTACACGAACACGAAACAAATAACATACATAAAATTTACTAAATAAATATGCACAACAAAAATATACGATATAAACAAATGTAAATATACATACCACGGGGAGAGTTAAGCTCTACCCCGGGCTACCGATGGGGACTCTGGCTTACTCACACTCACACACTAACACACTCTCACTCTCTCCCGGCATCCAAGGGAGCTACCCACAGGCCGGCCGCGCGCCGCCAAGGCAGCAGCTACGGCACGGCAACACCGACCCCGTGATGTTAACCAACAGCATCGAACCAAGCTCCCAACAAATCCTGCGCGGCCAAGGCGCTTCGTGATGTTCATCTTCCTGGAACTCTATCCTCGCGCATACATCCAAACAATCCATCAACGATCCATCCAATCGCGCGAGGCACGGGGACGTAGACACGACGACGATATCGTGGAAACCCAACCAATCAATAATAAAGGCGGCACGACGATAATGGTAAAATGATAAGGCGAGAGAGGCCGCAATGGCGCGCGTACGCGCTATTTATAGCGGTGGCGGGGGCGTGCCTACGTGGTGTGGTCTCGGAGCGAACAAGGTAGCCGCCGTAAAGCGCGGCGACCGTGCTCACGACCGAGACGCGCGGCAGCACGGTGCTCCCGGCCACATGCTGTGAGGAGCGGTCGATCGCGAGCCGCGACATCCTTAAAAAAATCTCTTCTCAATACGTAATTCTTTGAGAGGAATCACTTCAAAGATTCTGCTATCACATACCAACTGATCAGGGTGTCTGGATTTTCTGTTATCAGTAATGGACAGTCATGCCCCAATATGGCTGAGGTCCAGAATCTCATTTCTTTGACTTTCTAACAAGGGGGTTAAGCGTTTAAGCGTGTAGGAAGGGAAGCAAGCTTGTGAGTTCTGTTTTCGTGATGTTAGCACATTTTTCTATTTAGCAAATAGCAATACAAATTTTGATTTGCTGAATTTCTTGATTCAGAAACAAAACTTTCTCACGTTTTTTGCAAATAAAATTCTACCCAACTTACCACTAGAAACACTTTGGAAAAATTTGTTTGCAACAATTATAATTAGCCTACTATTTTAACCGGCATTTACATTTCCCAAAAGCTGGGACAGTTGTCATAGCCACATGGTAAAGGATTTGAAATTTACAAAAAATATGGGAAGAATGCCCTCATAATCGACTGAGACGTTGATTACCAGGAGATGATATCATTCTTGCTCGACGTAACTGCTATTTATAGTTAATAAGAAACGTCGGTTTATTATTTGCTCTCAAACCCTATCTAAATTCGCTGTCTGTCACTCGCTATTGTAGGATTGCGGTAATTATAGGTGCTGAGCCTCAAAATAGGGTTTATTTGAATTATGAGAATTAAGAAGAGATGAGTTTGGCAATATGAGTTTACTCGCTTCACGATGTACATTGTACCAATAATTTCGTGTGCAAATGATTTCGTCTCCATCATGAGTTTGAAGAGGTAATCCTATGTTTGCTGACTTGCTAAACCTCAACTTTTTTGACAAAATCAGTGAAAGCTAGCTGTAGTATTAAACCAGTCTAACAATAGGCCGTAATGCGCTCATAGAAAGCTCGAGAACTTCAGGTAAATTATTCTGATAGATTAGGGTTGAAAGTAGACTGAGCGGCTCTACAATGTGTGCAGGTATATTTAGAATTGCATGAAAAATGGGATATTATTAGATCAGTGCTAGATTTAGGGTAATCTTAACCTCAAGGTAGCACTCCGGCTGATACCATTAATCGTCGTGACAGGTAGCGATATTTTATAGGAAATAGATAGGATGTAGTTTGAACTCACATCTTTAACCGCAGCAACTTGTTCTCAATAATTTTGTGTGAAATCTTTTCTGAAAAAAAAAGAAGTCCGTTACCTATACGGAATCAACTTCTGTGTCCATAATCAGAAACTGCAGTTCCATGATCCAAGCAAAATTCTCAAGTATCATGTAGCGGCTTTCCACAGTTTTTTTCATTGAAATAGCTCGAATATTAGCCGATGAGGTTTGGCGCTAGGACCTTAATTCTTGGAAACTGCATTGCTTATTTTTGTCTCATGCGTTCGAGAAAAGTTTTGTATTGAAAATTAAAAGAAGTTCAAAATCTGGTCACGGTATCAAGTGTTTCTTTCGACTTGAGAAAATGTGTAATGAACATTCACTTCTTATTAACGCCCTTGGCTTTGTCTTACCTAAGTTACCGTGTTTGACAAGGTTGAAGTTGATTTTTTTTGAAAATTTATGATCCAAAGAGGTTTCCGGTCTCTTCAGTAGATCTCATTTATAGGCAAACTTAACATAAATAAATTCGAAAAAATTTGGAACCAAGCTGCACCATCCTCTCGTTTTGATACTGTTTACTGGATGTGTTTCAGTTGCGCTTATCTCATTTTCAGTCATCAGTTCTTTCCTTGGATCTTTAGAAATTCAAATAAGGGTAATTCATGAACAACACTGGAAATTCAGGTCTTCTTGGGTTACTTTCGAGCTACCTTAGATTCTTACTTGCACCCAATCTAGGTCCCTTTGAACAAATAGACTGTACACACCATATTTTAGGTACCGTACATTCTTGCTGTGCAAGCCTTTCTCTTTTACTTGCCTAGATTCGTATGGAAATCACTTATCGCTTTGTGTGGTGAGTAACTGCAATAGACAGTAGCTAATTCTTTAAATCTGTTTTTTTCTTTGAGGTTATGACTTGGCAGGAGCCATACAATACGTCGATGGGTTTTGGGCAGCCCTCAAAGTCAATGACGCTACCTTCAAAGGTGAGTACTGCTTTGATCTTCCTCTCATTTTCCAGATTTTGGTTGATTTTTATACTTTTCAGCTAGGATAGCAGCTTTCGAAGGACGAGCATCAGCATACATCTGGGACGGGCTGCGTCTAGCGCGACGTAAAGGAAGCAGAGATATGGGGCTCTACTACACTCTATCTACAGTAATACAATCGCTGAATGCTTGGATACAGGTCCGAAAAGGGTTCGATCCCTAGCCAATTTGAAATTTCATCTAATTCAGTTTTACGCTCTCAACTCGTTGCTTGAGTCCCCACTTTACACCCTCTGGGGACCGGCTTTGATACACGATCTTATGCGAGGAGATGATTGGCAGGTTCGTGAAGCGTACTCGTAAAGTTATGAATTTTTCAACGTTTATTTTGAAGGTTACCGGTCACTTTCCTCGCATTACACATTGTGATTTCAATAGGAGGCGGCCAGCAAGTGTACAGGTAAGTCTTTTGCGAATGCGTTATGGTCAAATTGAAATCTTCTTGTAAATAAAATACATACTCTGCTATTCATGGAAGTACACTCCAGTAGATTTGACATCCGACTGTGATAAAGTGCTTCTGCGGAAACGGCAAGATTGGCGCCAAAGCAAATTTGCTTTTTATTTCAAAGCATTTTTTCAAATTTTTAATTTTGATCCTAAAATCTCATATAGGCTCTTTCTATTCGCAAAAGTAAAAATATTCTTGATTGATGTTGGAAATTTTGTGCGGTAGGTGATCGAAGGGCATCTTTTTGCCTAAATTTCCCCACCTGTATAAATAAAGAAGTATCTGTTTGCATGTATGTCTGTACGTAGGTTCCAAATGGGATTTTCTATTTCTGAGCCCATCCGGAACATACCATGCGCACATATACAATACCACCCGTAATTTGTGAAAAAAAAATGGCGGCGGCACTTAACTTACGCGGCGCCGCCGAAGTTAGGTGACTTTTGCCGCGTCGCGCGACAAAAGTCGGCGGAAAAGCGGCAAAAGTCACCTAACTTTGTCGCGCAACGCCTAACTTTTTATAAAAAAAGACCTTATCTTGATTCAAAATTTATGAATTCTATATATAAGAGTACCATTCAACTCAGCTCGGCGAGGCGCATCTTCCAATATACGGATGTGCCTAGTTGTGGGATATAAGTTTCTTTCCTGGAATTTTAGTGTAAATGGACCATTCAGTGTGCTCATTCCAGAGGCTACGTACACATTCCATTGAGCACAGCAGAAATAGGGCAGGTATAGTTTAAGAGCTCATTCTGCATGGATATATGTGAAACTGGGCAGCTCATTCTGCATGGATATGTGTGAAAGTGGGCAGCTCATTCTGCATGGATATGTGTGAAAGTGGGCTTCTCTCGGCGAAGTATGACGGGTCCCAAAATGCAGGAAGACAAAGGGAAATGGTTGGAAATCGCATGAGAAGCACATATCGCGGAATGCCGCGCGTGCTGTGCAATGTACAATACCACTCACAGAACGGGAATTGCGCGAAATTCCAGAAATTTCGCGATTCCGGATTATCGTAAATTATGCAGCGCCATAACTTCCTTCGGAATTAATATATTCTAAATTCGAAAGCAGCACTGTGTTCATCTCGTCAAGGCGAATCTTTCTACATACGTCATGTCATCTATATCTTGTTTTCAGTTTTCTCAAATTGTTCTGAGGAGGTCCCTTTGCAAGTATGTAACGCAGCGCCTATCCAATTTGAAAGCTTCCAGTATGCACCATTCGATAGTGCTCTTCTTGTGCATTATAGTGCGCTAGTAAGCTGCCGCAGGCTTCTTTTCAAAAGAGAAAAAAGCGTTGGTAAATTCTGGAAAAATCACTCGTTTCCAGATTCTACTCGCCGTAACTTTCTTTGGAGTGGATATTTTCTAAATCCGAAAAATGCATTGTGCTCAGCTCATCAAGGCAAATCTTTCGGTATGCGGAATGTCCTTGATATCTCGATTTCAGTATTCTCAAAACTTTCTGCGGACGTTTCTTCGCAAAGGTGTGAAGCAGCGCGTATTGCCCCCAGTACATTCAGAAAGAAATTTTCGATAGTACTTCTTTTGTAGATTATGGAGCGCTGGAAAGTAGCCGCGTACTCCTTTTCAAAGGAGTTAGAAGGGCTGGTGAATTCTGGAAAAATCATGTCCTTCTAAATTTTTCTCAACGTAACTCTAAAATATGAAGCTCTCTTGCTAAGCAGATGTGATTTTCGTAACCAGCAGGTCGGATAACCCTTATGAGCATGTTTTCCAAGATGTTCAAGTAATTTCATTTTTTCTCGTTTTACGCTCTGAAGCTGGCCGATGGATTTTGGTCAAAATGTTCATGCTCTTAAATTGTAAGGAAACTTCGCTTATAGAGGTTTTCGAACACGCTCTTTACGAAAATCGTGGTCCTTGAGGATTACAGGGTCTTTTTGGTGAGATACGGTGAGGTGACTGTAACTGCATCACGAAAGTGCGTAAATTGGCCCGCACTTCTCGCGTATCTGTCAGCAACCTTGCCTGCTTGCTTTTCTCAGTCAAAGTTACTAGGAACTGCGCTACCGAATGGTGCATGAATCAGGCTCCAGTCTGTAAAAATCACCGAGTTACGAGCCTATGAAAACACGTCCTCATGGATTTTGCCCAAAATCTAAAGATGCAAATCTCGTCGAAGTTCCACCGTGAGCGCTTGTACAACACGCTGATCAAAATCTTTCGCGTCCTTAATGGATCTTATTGTGTTAGATTTAGTAGTTTGAGTTCTAGCCACTGAAATAGCTCTGATATTCAACTGAGTAGCTGAAGCATATGCAAGTACCATATTCAATACAGTGGGAGTTTTTGGGCGAAGCGAACACAATATCCGCAATGCGAGTGTCATACAAGCGCTCACGGTGGAACTTCGACGAGATTTGCATCTTTAGATTTTGGGCAAAATCCATGAGGACGTGTTTTCATAGGCTCGTAACTCGGTGATTTTTACAGACTGGAGCCTGATTCATGCACCATTCGGTAGCGCAGTTCCTAGTAACTTTGACTGAGAAAAGCAAGCAGGCAAGGTTGCTGACAGATACGCGAGAAGTGCGGGCCAATTTACGCACTTTCGTGATGCAGTTACAGTCACCTCACCGTATCTCACCAAAAAGACCCTGTAATCCTCAAGGACCACGATTTTCGTAAAGAGCGTGTTCGAAAACCTCTATAAGCGAAGTTTCCTTACAATTTAAGAGCATGAACATTTTGACCAAAATCCATCGGCCAGCTTCAGAGCGTAAAACGAGAAAAAATGAAATTACTTGAACATCTTGGAAAACATGCTCATAAGGGTTATCCGACCTGCTGGTTACGAAAATCACATCTGCTTAGCAAGAGAGCTTCATATTTTAGAGTTACGTTGAGAAAAATTTAGAAGGACATGATTTTTCCAGAATTCACCAGCCCTTCTAACTCCTTTGAAAAGGAGTACGCGGCTACTTTCCAGCGCTCCATAATCTACAAAAGAAGTACTATCGAAAATTTCTTTCTGAATGTACTGGGGGCAATACGCGCTGCTTCACACCTTTGCGAAGAAACGTCCGCAGAAAGTTTTGAGAATACTGAAATCGAGATATCAAGGACATTCCGCATACCGAAAGATTTGCCTTGATGAGCTGAGCACAATGCATTTTTCGGATTTAGAAAATATCCACTCCAAAGAAAGTTACGGCGAGTAGAATCTGGAAACGAGTGATTTTTCCAGAATTTACCAACGCTTTTTTCTCTTTTGAAAAGAAGCCTGCGGCAGCTTACTAGCGCACTATAATGCACAAGAAGAGCACTATCGAATGGTGCATACTGGAAGCTTTCAAATTGGATAGGCGCTGCGTTACATACTTGCAAAGGGACCTCCTCAGAACAATTTGAGAAAACTGAAAACAAGATATAGATGACATGACGTATGTAGAAAGATTCGCCTTGACGAGATGAACACAGTGCTGCTTTCGAATTTAGAATATATTAATTCCGAAGGAAGTTATGGCGCTGCATAATTTACGATAATCCGGAATCGCGAAATTTCTGGAATTTCGCGCAATTCCCGTTCTGTGAGTGGTATTGTACATTGCACAGCACGCGCGGCATTCCGCGATATGTGCTTCTCATGCGATTTCCAACCATTTCCCTTTTTCTTCCTGCATTTTGGGACCCGTCATACTTCGCCGAGAGAAGCCCACTTTCACACATATCCATGCAGAATGAGCTGCCCAGTTTCACATATATCCCATACAGAATGAGCTCTTAAACTATACCTGCCCTATTTCTGCTGTGCTCAATAGAATGTGTACGTAGCCTCTGGAATAAGCACACTGAATGGTCCATTTACACTAAAATTCCAGGAAAGAAACTTATATCCCACAACTAGGCACATCCGTATATTGGAAGATGCGCCTCGCCGAGCTGAGTTGAATGGTACTCTTATATATAGAATTCATAAATTTTGAATCAAGATAAGGTCTTTTTTTATAAAAAGTTAGGCGTTGCGCGACAAAGTTAGGTGACTTTTGCCGCTTTTCCCCGACTTTTGTCGCGCGACGCGGCAAAAGTCACCTAACTTCGGCGGCGCCGCGTAAGTTAAGTGCCGCCGCCATTTTTTTTCGCAAATTACGGGTGGTATTGTACTTCGTGCGTCGTAGACTACTCTTCGTCATTGATCAATATCGATTTTATTGATTTGTCTGCAAATTTGAGCTACGGAGCTGGGAGTTGGCACAGGAAGGGGGTAAGGGGCATGCTGATTACAAAATGTTAGTGACAGGGCTGGGTGTAGCCGAGTTTGCCAGCTAGTTTCTAATAATCTCGTCAATCTGAAGAAAATTTTGAGAATTTTTCCAAACGAGAGGTGGAGGAGGGGAGAAACAGTAAGAGTGAAAAAAAGCGCTTCGAAAAATTCTGCATAACAATTTCTTCGCAAAAAAAACATGTTAAGCTTTACTGGTAGACTGTTTCTGACGCTGCAACACAAGAAAATTCAAAGAAAAAAGAATTTGCAAGAAATTGCTTGAAGGGCGTAAGTAAAAGTGAGCATTTGCAAAAGTTTTCGCTTAGAGCCTTAATATATGTTCGCACTGAGAAAGAATAAGACTAGGGGTGGTTTTTCAATTTCCAAACGTAAGCAAGATTTTTCTCTACAATTTTTGATTTATGAGTAATAGGTCAGTGCCTATAATTTCTGAAATAATGCAATCAATAAGAAATGATTTTCACATGATTATGTTTCTTGCAAGATCTTCTTGAGTTGCCATGTTTTCATCACGGAACTCAGTTTTTGCTTGTATCTTTGTTTTCAGCTCGACACGGTATTATGCGTCTTGACACTGAACATTTACTATGAAAAGTTGTTCATCTTCCTCTGGTTCTGGCTACTCTTCGTGGCAGTAGTATCAACTGCGAATTCTATCTATTGGGTGTTCACTTTATGTGTGAACACAAAGGTAATTCAACAATTTTTTTTACATCTGAGTGTCTGCAGAAGTTCATTTCTTGTTCCAATTTTCGTATTGCTATCACATATGCTTTCTCGAAATCAATCCTCAGCATAGCTTATAAATTTTTGCACGTTACTGACATGCCTTGAATCCTACCTATGATGCACCACCAACTTATCATCTACGCTTTCTCAGAATTTGTCTCCAGTATCGCTGATTTTTGTGGAATATCGATTTGGTTCGAATCTGTGTTGCACATGCTGCATCATGCGTGCTTCACTGTACATATTCCACCCAAGCTTTCACATTTTCCTTCCGCTCAGTGATTGCGAATTTCGGATCTGTGCTCTAAATAGTGCATCACGTGTGTTATTTTGCATACTGCTATCATTTTTTTTGTCTGAACTCTTCCACTATTGCCGATATCATTTTGCTCAGTTTTGGCACCTTTCGCATCTGTGCTGCATAGTGCACCACGTGTTTTACGTTAAATATTGCTATCACCTAACTTTCTCAAAAATCCTTTCATTACTGTCCATACCATTTTGTTCATTATTACCTGCTTTAGGAGCTGTGTTGCACATGGTGCATCATTTATGTTTTAAACGTTTCTCGATAAGTGAAAGTTTTGCCTTACAGGCTATGATAGGTAGAGGCCTCGTACTTTAAAATAACCTGTAAAACACTTAGCGACCTGAATATCAGATTTTTGCAAAGACGATTTTAACTGAATCTGTAGAGTTTGTGACTTACCTAGTCTTGTATTATGTGTTTCCTGCTCAATAAGAAGTTCCTAAACAGATTAGATTTTTACAGGCTCGTCGCACAATCATCGACTATCTGGATACAGATCCGGATGGGAACATCAACCGGATATCGACGGAGCAATTTTTCAGAGTTCTTGGGAAGGATGGCTTATTTGTCCTGCAACAGATGGGGCTCAATCTTGGCGACATTCCAGCTAGGTAGGGCTTGCATATGGCTTTTAGAGGAGGAGTTAAAAGACAGACTTGTCAGAATAATCAGCTCCTATGTAGATAAATTGTGCAAGAGTAATTGGTGAGGCCCAAACTCACCATAATGGATAAAATCATTTTTGCAAAAACTCCAGTATCATGGAAACAAGCATAAGCAGTCCTCGTGCGCAGAAACAGAACGCCGTCGCTTAGCCGTCGGCGTCTCTCTGATTACGCGCACTCTCATTCCTCTTACCGTCTGCAGTCTCCTCCAATCACGAACTATCTCTTACAGTACAATCGCGTCCAGTCTCTGCGCACTTACTCGCTTTTAAGATATTCTTAAGCGTGTGAATCGAAAATATCAAAATAATAAATTTTTCAGCTACCTCTGCATAGCGATGAGAAACGTTGGTCAGCACTGGATAGAAGAAAATGATGATCACAACAACATAGTGGACGAGAAACAACCCTTAAAAAACTTCAAATCTGTTTAGATCCTTCAGTGAGAATGATATAACTTCCAAAGTGAACAGTTCGAGGTGTAGAATCCGCGTGATACGAATTATGAGTTTAATATTCAAATTTATATGATTTGAATGCGAAGTATGTGCCTTTACCAGGGAAGTGTCGAGCCATTTTCTCATATCAATGATTGTGTTTTTTTTTACTTTATTGAGTCATTTTTTGAAAGGAAATTGCAATAAGATGTTCTCATAGCGTTTCCATAGTGATATCAGCAATTCAATGTATTTATATTCCCGGATTTCTGAGAATCGGGTAAAGGAGGTAAGCAGAATAGAAGTTAGTTATGGCTGTCATGGAGCATTAGAATAACCCTGCTAGAATGTTCTCTCATATTCTAAGATTCTAACCTTTATCGTAGACCTACCGTAAGCCTGCCAAAGATACTCTGCCATGCAGGATGTGTGAGTTAGGGAGCATCATGTTGCCAATGAGACCCCTGCATCCAACTGCTATGGAATGTAATGTGTTAGGTGCAAATTTGTGCTAGATGTCCGTGTGAAGAGCATATCGGTGACATAACGTCATATAAGTAATCTACTTGTTCGAAAAAAAAAATTGATTATTCTGTTACTCAGAGTGGTAGAACACCAGCTCAGACAATTCACCAGAACTTCCGCAGAACAAGCATAATTTGCAGCGGTTCCGCAGAATTTTGTTCTCTATTGCAAAAGTAGAAACATTGAAAATGAGAACTTCCGCAGGATTTTTATGTCAAACTGGTTGCAAACAGGAACTTCCGCAGATACAAAGAGCTGCGGAAATTCCGAAAAGTGCCAGCGGTTCCGCAGCACTTTGACATGCCAGTACTTCCGCAGGGTTTTGAATGTGTCTCGTGAAGTTGCCTCGACAACAACTAGAGTGCATTATCGAACATGCCAGCCGTAGTGCAGATGATAGTAGCTGGGTCTCACAGTCAATAGAGTGAGGTTCAAATCTCGCTTAGCTCTTCTTTTTTGCTGTTGTGATTCGCATTCTTCGGAACTTCCATAGCACCTCATTTGGGAACTTCCGCAGCCCGTTTACGGAATTTCCGCGGGTGACCCGCCGGAACTTTCCCACACGTACTGCGGAAGTCCCAGTCAGTTGTCTGAGAGATCATTTTATCATTCGAGATTCAGAAAAATATCAAGTAAGTTCTACAACACTATGAATGAGTTAGGAGAGTGTGCATGAACCATAGGCAATTTGTGGCAAGCAAGTAAATCGTACTTCAAAACTTCTGTGAAGATGTGATGAATCACGACGACGAAGACACACAGTGTGAGCGCACGTCCCACCCATTCCCGCGCGAGTACTTATCGTGGACCCACATTGGGCTTGGCTTGGGCTACGGTTCTGGAATGGTTAGCCTCCCAGGATCTGACAAGGACATTCACCGAGCCGCTGTCATCAAATCCCTCTCTAGTAAATGGTCACAAAAAAAGAGCTATACAGTAACTTATAGTAAGTAGATATCATTTCTATGCTTTAGGCACGGGCCATACTTGATCCGCTTGATTTACTTCATCCACTCCGCTATTGGTCAAATCAGCAAGCTGACCAATGGTGAAGTGGACGAAGCGGATCAAGTGGATCAAGCGGATCAAGTAGGGCGCGTGCCACTAATCACCATTTCGGGTAGAGAAAGGGTAATGTGGCAGTTTCGCGGGATTATCAAAGTTTTTTTCTTTTTCTACTTCTCAGTTTTTGTGCTCTTTTTTCAATACATTCTTTTCTTATCATAGTTTTTGCTGTACTGTGACACAGTGGCGGTCCCAGGATTTCGGACCGGGAGGGGGGAAAAAATTTTCCAGCAAGGTGCGTGGCGTCAGCTACGCACTACGAAAAATTTTTGGGGTGCTTCTTAAAATTTTTGCGGGTCCCCAACCCCTAAAATCTGGAAAAAGGGGGCGTAAAAAATTTTTACAAGGCTTGAATTTTAAAAGATTTTAAAAATTAGTCTAATTATTTACAATTAAAAGCAAGTCCTCTGCACATTTTTATAACACATTTAAGTAACTTTCAAAAATTTCGCGACCCATTCTCGGAGGGGGGTGGGGGCGCCCCACCCTTCGGTACGCCACTGGTCCTAAGCTTTTAACAGCTTATAATAGTAGGGCCCTATCAAGCCAATGCCCAAGCCGCGGCGCAAATTATCGCTTCGAAAGCGGGAGAATCGCTTTGGGCGAAGATGCATGAGGACCCCAAGTCGGCACCACCCCCTCCAGTAATGCCCGCCTATTCGTCGTACTCATCCAATCACCGTTTTGGAAAACCAGCCTGCGGGTTTTTCGGAAGGAGGATGATAAAGGTTTTCGCAGATTCTCGACTTTATATTTCGGAATCAGAGTCATGAGAAGGCCCCAGAACGATCATAATATGGGACTCGAAAACCTGAGTAGACGGCCTTTATGCCTAAGATATTTGTTAATAGAATATCAGAGGAATTTCTCAGTCAGCAACGAAAAAATGGAAAGTTTCAAGGAATATCTTTTTGTCCTTTTCCTTAAAAGAGGAAACTCCCTCTCTTGAGTGGCAAAATCCTCTCTCAATTTTTGCGATAATTTCTCGTAACACAAAATGAGAGAATTTGAGGTTGGTATTACTGCTCAGCTGATCACTGCATATATCTACAATGGAAGAAGTTTGCGCTATTTTACTACATTTTAGATTAAACTACGGTCCCTAGAGTAAGGAATTCAAAGGAAGACGCTTGGCAATCCGGGATTTTCTCTTTGTTGCTGTAATAAGCCTTAAGTTAAGTGCGTTCTGATAAGGAGAGCTATCGAACTTAGCTCGACCTTCCACCGACACACCAAGTGACATCTACCTATCGTCGATTTTGACCGCCGGACTGCTTAAGCGCTGCGGACCACGCGCTGCGCGGCTGAATTGTCGCGGGAGCACGACTTAACAATGGCGAAAATGTACTGGGCCAAGCGTTTTTGCAGTGATGTCCAGTCCGTGCGGTCAACGAATCAACCGTACATTTTGAATCGGCTTCAAACGCTTTCAAATATGCTATTTTTAGCTGCGTCGCACCATTCCGAAGGGAGTTATGAGCTTTTTTCCTGGCATACTACTGAACATGGAATCAGGGCTCGGCACGAGGTGGCTAGATGAAAATGGAAAAAACGAAGTCCTCCTTGACTTTTGGGAATTTTTACGAAGTCCCCTTTGACCCTGAACCAAATTTCTTCCAAAAACCTAAAAAATTCCCGAAAATCCCCCAAGAAACGAAACGTCGACTAAAAAAAAAAGGTCGCCGTCGCCAATTTTCCGTATGTCTTCGCTCACAAAAACGAAACCCCCTTTGCTTTTCGTCCCAAAAACGATATCCAGCTTGCTTGTAAGCCACCTGTGCCGAGCCCTGCATGGAATACTGCCTGTAAGTAAAACTCCGTAAAAAAAAGGTGCTTAGATGTCAAAATAACACAAATCCAACTTTTTCTCACTGAAAAATTACACGGCGCCGCATTTTCAATGCCACAAAGGCACACGGCGCGAGAAGTATGCGAAGCGGTGGTAGTTGTCTACCATGGAGGACTTTGACGCACAGCTCATGGTAGGTGTAGAATTACCAAGTATTGTCAGTCAACTCACGATCGCAACGGCTAACTCGTAAACGAACGAGCCATTTTGCGAAGCTCCCACCAGTGGCGTACCCAGGATTCCGGCTCGGGGGGGGGGGGGGAGCGCGACAAAAAAAATTTTCTGGTGAAGGTGCGTGGCGTTAGCCACGCACCGGGAAAAAATTTTTGGTATGCTTCTCAAAATTTTCGCGGGCCCATAACCCCAAAAATCCAAAAAAAGAAAATTTTTTTATAAGGCTAAATTGAATTTTTAAAAATTTTTAAAAATTATTTTAATTACTTACAAGTATAAATAAGTCTCTTGCACATTTTTATTACTTATCTAAGTAACTTTAAATTTCGCGACCCATTCTCGGGGGGGGGCCCCCCCCTCGGTACGCCATAGGCTCCCACTAACGTTTTCAGGCATTTGGCGCGTGCGAAATTGTCATGGGGTGGCTTTTTGAAACATGCATAAAACATGCAAAGTTTTTTTCACAATGACATGTGCCTCACAGAGCCTTACCGGGAATTACACATTTGAAGATATTTGCACTACTTTCCGCTTCAGTGAACCATGTAATGGCTATTTCTTTTAAGAAAAGCTACATATAAGTTAAAGTTATAATATTGGGAGTTTCTTCATCTTTGATGGGCCTCAGAACAGCTACACAAAGTTTTCACCTTTGAGAAGAATAATTCGCGTACTTTAATGTTGAAAATGGTCTGACCTAAATTTGCGGTTTAAATTTCTGAACAGCTGCCGCAATGCTCTGTGTCCTATGACAATAAGGCCACCATAATTCTTACTGCATGAAATTTACGCTAGAATTTGAAAAACTGGCGTGCATACATATGTATGCACGAAAATGCTGAACGAGACAAGGTCCTGCATGAGCGCTGCGCACACGTCGCCAATGTTTCTGTGGAAGAAGTTATGGTAAGAATACCAATTTTAAAAACGAGCAGATTTTTAAAGCATCCAACACTTCCCCTCGCTCCCGACCCTTAAGCTTTGGCCATAGTTTACCTGTTTACCAGTGCTACCAATTTTACCAGTGTTACTTACTCGTTATTAGTGTTACCCGTGTTACTGTTACCGGTGTTACTCATGTTATATACTCACGGATGCGGCGCAGGAGGAGCCAGAGGCCTGCCGCTGATAGCCCTAGGAGATAATCAAGAGCACGAGCGCTGTGGAGAAGATTTTGACAAGGATCCAGGAAAACTTGGAAAGGACATCCATTAGAAACAAACTCTTATAACTCTTCTTGGAACCAACTTTCAAGGATACGAAGGACAGATTTGGAATCAGTATTGAAATGCGCATTTTTTAGTATTAGGTTGTCCGGAAATTAATGCAGGTTTTGAATTTCAACCGCAATAAGTCATACACTTCTCATTTCTAAATAGGTTGCAAGGTACCATTCGATAGAGCAAAGCAAGCTCTACAAGGCGGCGATCTTGCTTTAGCAACAGCTCTGATCCACCACGAATTTCCAGCCAGAAACTGAAAAGATTCAACTGCCAGAAAAATCGAGAAAAATACTCTGTTAATAAAAATCCTACAAAATTCTAACTTGCCCACGTAAACACTGTCTACACAAGACATCTATATACGCCGTTGCCGTATTTTTTTCTCTGTTAGAAATCAAGAAAACGGAAATTTTCATGCATTTGCCAAAGTGGTGCTGTGCCGCCCCCACATAAGTAGTTGCATACTTCAAACCTGTAGAAGTACAAACGTAAACTTTCAGCTCTCTACAAGCTTTAGTTCTCGAGAAATATCGAATATAGCCTTCATTAGTTAGGTGGTCCAAGCTAAAATTCAGATTTCTCGAGAACTAAAGCTTGTAAAGAGCTGAAAATTTACGTTTTTACTTCTACAGGTTTGTAGTATACAATTACTTGTGTGGAGGCGGCACAGCACTTTGGCAAATGCATGAAAATTTCCGTTTTCTTGATTTCTAACAGAGAAAAAAACACGGCAACGGCGTATATGGATGTCTTATGTGGATTGGGTTTACGTGAGCAAGTTAGAATTTTTGCAGGATTATTATGAACTGAGTTACGATTTTTCTCAATTTTTCAGGCAGTTGAATCTTTTCAGTTTCTGGCTCGAAACTTGTGGTGGATCAGAACTGTTGCTAAAACAAGATCGCCACCTTGTAGAGCTTGCTGTGCTCTATCGAATGGTACCTTGCAATTTATTTAGAAATGAGAAGTGTATGACTTATTGCGGTTGAAATTCAAAACCTGCATTAATTCCCGGACAACCTAATAATACGCCGGTAATATCAGGTATACCGGATAGATAAACTACTCGTTCTCACTACTCGAGTTCTATTTTTACCAAAAGCTGAGTCTTCAGAATTCACCATTACAAGCTGAAGAACTTCAAGTTCAATGCTATGTAAAACATTTCAAGTGAATTTTCTAGTGAAACTTCTCGATTGGAAGTTGAAAGTAGGGAGTGGTAATCAGGAAGTAATGTTAACTAAGTTGTTGCATGTGATACACTGATGAACTTTTTCTAATGTTTACAACCTCAAAATACTACCGACACAGTTCAACAAATCCTTTGAAATCTCTAGCGTCAAAATTCAAAACCAGAATAGGTTGAAAGTTATGAGACAAACCGTAATTGCATCTTGACTCAAGCCTCCAGATGTGTTGTTATGACATTTTGATTGCTTTGGTTCATTGAATGAAAAGGCAAAACAATCCCTTATCTCGGAGGAAAAGGAATGAATATGAATGAAAATTCCGGTCTTCAACAATCTGTAACTTCAAATTTCACGAAACAAAAAAGTTTCTATAAGAAAAATGATTTTTCCCACCGCTCAAATTCTAAATTTTCACTTAATTTTGGGTCCAGTGAATACGCCTTCCAATTTGCATTACAAGTCTGTTTTTTCAAATTTTTTAGAGCATCTCCAAGCGAAGTTATGAAGATTTGTTCCTAAGGGATATCCTTGCCAAGTTTTCTTGGATCCTTGCCAAAATATTCTCCACAGCGCTCGCGCTCTCAATCATCTCCTGCGGATACAGGCGGCAGCCCTTTGATTCTTCCTGCACCACCCCATATACTCACCATTTGATAAGATTGCGTTGAGATTGAGACTGAATTTGTGATTATTTCACCATCCAAAAACAATAAAAGCAATAACACTAGTACCACTAGTAACACTGGTAACATCGGTAACACGGGCAACACGGGTAATATATGGCCAAAGCCTTGCATATTTTTCAATTTTTCAATTTCGTAAATTTTCATGATTTATGCCATACAGGGCTCCTAAATTGCAGAGTCGTTTGCACCAGCGGTCGCGCGACGCGTCGCGCCCGTGCATCAATGGCGCCGCCTCGATCGATGGCGCCGGCGCCGGCAAAATGCCCGGGCGCCACGCGTCGCGCGACCGCTGGTGCAAACGACTTTGCAATTTAGGAGCCCTGTATGTAGTTACTGGTGTATAGCGTGGTAGGTTTGGCATCTGATGTAGTTCTAACGCTACCGACAATATCCGAAAGCTGGCACAAGACTATATAGAGGTGCTTCCTTTCATGCCATAGCCGCGCAGTTGTTGTCGTCACCGCACGAGATGCTAGTCTGTGGATGTCGTTGCACCACATAGTTCGTTGTCTACCGTACCCCCACAGTAACGTACTACCATGACGGACAGAGATGTGAGACTTCGATCGAAGGAGTAACATTTTTTGAAAGCAGTGTCCGGACAAAGTGGAGGTTGTAAGATTTCAGTGCCATGCAAAAGTAGGCCCCTTCGGACATGCCAATGCGCAACTGCGAGGTCAAAGTTCTCCAGAAGCCTGAAATACAGTCGAAAAGTGGAGAAACTTACGCCTTGGGGCAGGGTCCTCCGACCTGTTCGAGTTCCTGCTATGCGGCAGAGTACGCATGAAGCCACAGGCAAAATCGTAGGGTCCCGCAGTGACCCTGCGTCTCGGCCTTGCCGGGAACAGTCCAATTGCAAATCGTAAGGCTTTAAGAAACGCATGTTCTTGCCGTTTTCGCGACTTCGTATGTGGGTTTTCGGATTCAGCGTTGCGGATAACCCCAGGCAAGCGAATTTTCTAGACGAGTTCTTGCCCGGATGCTGCCTTTAAGGGAATTCTACTTCCTTGTTACCAACTGCAGCACACCCCCTCCCCCTTCTATTAATTCCGAAGTCCAGATGTGCACGTGCTGACGCCGTGCATAACAGCAGCACAAGCGAAGCGCCCGTACGTGGCAACTATTCAAAATTCGCGCTCGGTACAGTAAGCCGGCGTCGCGCGCCGAGACGCGGCATGGATTCATGGCAGAATCTTCTGGTACCGCCCGCCACTCGGCGCCGACGTGATGACTGAGCCCTGTGTTCGGGTTTTGCTTTTGGTATCTAGCGCTGAGAATTCCCGTGTGTCGATCCGTTGTGTGTTGATTGTCGATGACGCGCTATCATTCGATAGCTTCGGGTCGATAGCAGAACCCCACTCATTCTTACGTTTTCAGTTCTCGCGGTTAGTCCGCGTACTACGTCCGGGTCTTTAATCTTCTTTCACATCACACAGTAAATTATGGCACTCAAAAGAATCCAGAAGGTACGTCGTTTTCTTTTCATTTGCTTTAAAGAAGTAAATCATCATCCCCTCACCAAGTTGCGTTAATAATCCCACTGCAATTCTTTTTTTCAAAGCGGCACATGGTGACAGTTATCGATTTTTGAGGTGTTTTTGTGCAGTTGCGTAGCAGCGTTACAGACACTCATGATTATCCAGCTCGTGTCTCATATTTGGCCTAAACCCTGGAAAAACGGATAGTGTTACATTTAGCAGGATTTTTCTAGGAACTCCAAGATTTGGGACGTGATCCACCGGCACAATGTTCTGCAGGCCCTGTAGGCGATGATTTGTTCCATTGGCAAGCTACGATTATGGGTCCTCCTGAGTCACCATACCAAGGAGGAGTCTTTTTCCTCACGATTCACTTCCCTACGGATTATCCATTCAAACCACCAAAGGTATGGTTATAATAGTTAACGTCGGGTAAGTGAGAACTATCGATTTTGTGATAATATTTATCGTGTTGGGACGTGCCATGAATGCAGGTTTTTTGTGCCTCTTACTGGAGCACGTGTAATAAGTGGAAAAAAGTTGTTCTGTCTCTTTTTGTTGTTAGAACTATGGGCAAAACTCTCGTATTGTTCTTGAGAAAGGAGCAGTTTTCATGTACTCGCACTGAAAATTTAGTTGGATCACTCTTTCTAGAGGCTTTTCTCCTTAGGCTTTTGTAGAATTCACAGATGTTGCGATTTGTGTCTAGTTGCACACAATAGTCTAACCCTTGCCTTTTATTTGGTGGTTTAATGAGAAATCATAAACGCGTAAAAAAGAGTATCGATTTTTCTCTGACATCATTCTTGATTTCAAAACTCGGCTCCTTTTCCGTTTACACAAAATCATATCACGAGTTTTCCCTAAGAGTTTATAACGCGGTAACTTTTTGTCCATCTCATCGTGACTCATTCCTAACTGGACAGTCATAATACAGTTTTTATTTCCAACAAATTTAGGTCGCATTCACAACAAGGATTTATCATCCAAATATAAATTCGAATGGCAGTATCTGTTTGGATATACTAAGATCGCAGTGGTCGCCAGCGTTGACTATATCGAAAGGTATGTTCTTGCGAAATCGATCGCAGACGCACTTTCGAGGCAGTTGTTGGGTGGTTGATAGCGTTGAAGAAGATTGCTTACTGGAACGGTGCAAGTTAAATGAGAGTTCACCCCTTTAGTTCTCTTGTCAATCTGTTCGTTGCTGTGTGATCCGAATCCCGACGATCCCTTGGTGCCCGAAATCGCTCGAATCTACAAAACGGATCGTGACCGGTATGTTCCGCTTCAAGTTTCGAAGAAAACGAAAAAGCATGCTCATGTTGGAGAATTGGATGTTTTTGTGGACTAATTGCGCACTCAGACGCGAAGGCGTTGACTAATGCTTGGCTCCCCCTTTTATCTCTGGAGTACAATTTTCCTTGTAGACTTGGGTTTGACATCTTGAGCACCACTTGAAATTGAGGTCTAAACGTCTGCTGGGTTTCTAATGATTTTTGGAGTTTCAGTTGTGAGGTCGCCCTGTCTGTGCAGACTAGTCTCGGACTAGTTTTTTTCCTCCGTGGCTGCTCTTGTTAAAATCTCTACTAGTCATTCGACAAATGCGCTGACACGACTTTGTATCATGTGATGTGAAGCACAATAAGCATCACGCATTGATAGGGGTTTTTCCACTCCACTAACTAGACTATACTACCTGTGAAGTTGGATTACTTGCTTCATTGAAGGCAAAATTCCGCGGATCGCTTTTGTACCTATTCGGACCTTTTTCGCCATGAGGACCCATATCTAAGCTTTTCAGCATATGAAAATGGCGAAAATGCTTTTTTTGAAGCTTTCCAGGTCTCCATTCAGGAAATACGCCGGAAATCTTTCCCATCCCGCCTTCCTAGTTATGAACTCCACCCTCTTACACGTATTTGCCCGCGGACCTGGAAGGTGAAAAGTTCATTTATTCCATTTTCATGCGCTGAAAAGCCCAAATATGGGTTCCTCATGGCGAGAAGGCTCCGAAAAATTGAAAAAACATGATGACGGAAGTTTGCCAGGCCACTGCCTTTGATTTTTGTGACATCCTACCAAGTTATAATTTTATTTAGACGCTTTTTTGAGTCCATAGTCTTAGAATGACCGCTCAATAATCAGCGACTTTTTTCTTTTTTTAAGGGTGGTCTTCGTATTATCGACAAGAAAAATGTGTAACGGAATAAAAGTCCTGTGATTCCTAGAATTGGCACTCGCATTTTTACAAAACCTTTTTTTTTAGCTACAAGCTGTGGTTCCATTGTTACCAGCAGGACATGAGTCATGTGTGGGTGTAGTTCATGTATAGCTGCCTTAACAGTCATTTCGGTCCTATGGCCATTTTATCTGCACTGAAGCAGTGTCAGTCTTGCTACTGATCCAATCACTCATAAGAGATCGTGAATCATTGCGTTGATAACAAGATGTATAACTTTGTTGTGAAGTTTTCCAGCGGTTGGGGAATGCGTGGTTCGAACCATGTATCGATGTGAGCGTCAGGAAGTTTCTATGGGGATCCAATTTCTTTTGATCACGCTTTCTGATGATAGCCGGTGATTGCGATTGATCGATTATACCGATCGTGCATACAAGTGTATGGTGTCGAAGTGGCCAGTCCAAGCGGACTACCTACTACTTGATGCAGTGTTCAACGCTGACTTCGAATCCATGTTCCATATCTCTTGGCGCTCTTGTGGACGAAGTTATGAGCAGTTCTGGAAAAAATCGTACATGAAAATTGCAAAATTGAGCACATTATTGCACTTTCAGCTCACCTTTAGGCTTTGAGAAGATAAAGTAACCTATCTGTGATTTGGCTCAGCATTAAGCCGAACATCGTTCTGTACTGCCAAATTTGCGCTTTACATGCACGATTTCTTAGCAAAATAATGGCCTTTAACGGCTCATAACTTCGTCCACATAGGCGCTAAGCAGATACGGAGTACAGATTCGACGTCAGCGTTTAAGCTGCATCTAATGGTATGCAGCCTGTCTGAATTGACGACTTCATTCGCTTGTTACTCGCGTTCTTCCTTCTCAATGGATTACTCGCTAATACGTGAAGTTATCAGCAGTCAGTCTGTTTTTCATAGGTAGACACTTTTCTGATGACTACGTTAGTGAAAGGATGAGGGTTATCTGTTGCAGGTATCACGTGTAGCGTACCGTTTCCGGTATCTCTTGTATCAGAAATTTGTATTGTCCTTGAGGGGTGTCTTACTCAAGTTGACTTAGAGCACAGTGTCGTGAATTATTGATCCAGAACATGGCTTTGTAGGGGGGGGGGTTATCCGATATGGTAACGAGTGGTCTTGGTTTTACATGGTAGAAGCATTTTTAGGGGTTACGGTGGATATACGGTAGTTAAGTCAAGCCCCCGAACGTACTTCTTTTAGAAGGCTAGCTACGATTACGATCGTTGTGCATGGATCATTTTCTTCAGCGCAGTTGACGAGTTTCAAGCAGCATGCTTGTCAAACTTTAGGCAGAGTTTCAGCAATTTGGAATTTTGCCATTATACTTTGTCTTGTCGCCTGGAAGGCGGGGCTTTGTGACCTACGTAAGGCCGCTCGCGTGCTCTTTTTGGAGCAATTCACCGTCATGCCTTATTTCTTCATATCAATGTAATTTATGATAAGTAGGTTTTTGAACTGTCGATGTTTCCCAGAAACACCGTAATTTCAGTCGCTCTTCGCTACACAGTCAAGCTCTTGAATGGCTTAGGCTTGTTCCAAAAAGAGTTATGATTTAACTGCTTGTCTCGACGATTTCATGCTGGTCTGGTGTGTGTTTGTAGGCCACCTGCAGTTTGGTTACTGTCCGATTAGCGTTATAGGGCCCGGCTATGCGTTCTTCTACCAACATTTTCGCGCGTGTTCGAAGTAGTGAACCACCTGAGTTTGTTATTTGGTCCAATCCTAAGACTTCAGTGGAAGCATTCAGACCGTTTCGGACAAAGTGAGATGTTGTGAAACTAACGAAGGGGTCGCAGGGATTTCTCCTAACGATTTCAGATGATACAAGGGTCATCCGGCTATAGTATCCCTGCAGTTCCTGCGAATGTGATTTTCTGGTTAATTTATCCATGAAGCGCGGAATCTCGAGATCCGCATTGGAGCTGACATTCTGCTCTTCGTCCAGTCACAGCCAACTTAGGCGCTGATTACGTTGAAGCAGAAACAGAATGAGGGTGATGAGAGTTTTACTCACTTTTGGAACGGCACCAAGCTGTAACGGTAGACACGCGTTTCATAGGTAACGAGATCGCCGGAATTACAGGATAGTGTGGCCGAACCTGAACAAGTCTGCCCGTTGGAACGCTTAAAAATTTTTTTGCTGAAAGGCCTTGTCATCTACGCTGATTTACAAAAGTTCTGAGTCGATCAGCAACATCAAAAATTTGAAGCAATACTGGTTATGTACACATACTGGTTCATTTTAAAAGATCTTTCTTGTTTTGCTGAGTAGACATGCGGTGCATGCAGATGCGAAAAGCTTTCGAAGGCATTTAACACATTGACGACCATGCAGATTTTTAGTTGTTTGCCTTCTGGGACCAAGCCCTTGTGCGGACCAGTTCACATTTTTCGGCTATAATTACGCATGCTGCCATCTACGTAAACCAACAGTAAATCGGAAAGAAAGGCTGGCAAAAAAGGTAGAGGTCATCCCTAGATTCAGTGTAAAAGAAAGCTCATGGAGTGAGTTTATTTTCTAATAGTAGCTATTTCAACTAATTTCAAGCCTTGACACACATTGTGTGTCAAGCGGTCCCACACGGTAGTCATTGCTTGACACACCATGTGTGTCAAGCGTTCGTCAGTTGTTAAAGAGTGGTTCATAGTTTTCACTAGTATAGAATTTGACAGCGGTAACTTGAACAGCATCGCGATAATTTCTGATGTTTTCAAATTGTTATTTTGCACCTCCGTTCAAGTTTTCCCATTTTTTCCTTTGTAATACATTTTTTTTTAAAAATTGACCGGTACTCACAGATAAGACAGAGCAGAGCTGAATTTTTGGACCTTTTGTGATCCGTGTCATTGAATTTTTAATAATGATTCATTTGCGGAGGGTGTTGATTTCCACGATTCTTCGACAGAAAATAAACTTTTGTGAATGTGAATTCTACGAAGTTTGATTTCGCAGTGATAGGCTGTCATCAATAAATTGTATGTAGTTTTTTACAGCTCGTCTTGTCCTTATAGCACCAAGTAAGTTTACTTCGAAAAACGCTGTGCGGTCGACTTCAAGAGAACTTTTTTGCTGAAAGAACGGAAATTTTGTAAGCCTATTACTCATCTAAGGAAGCGCGTGACTTTCCTTTCATGTGCTTTTCAAATCTTTTTGATCCTGAAATTCATTGTTTGATAACAAGCAGCGAAAAAACTTTTGGTGTAATTCAGTCTATCATTGCTGCTTGATTTTACTGATAATAATTCTCATCAGACAACCATTGGTTGGCCTTACTTTACACAACAACATGGGTGCATGGTAAATTCTTTCATAGTCGTGAAGTAGTGTTGAATCCATGTTAGTTCTTCTTAGAATAATGGTAGTCAAGAACTACTGTGCTTTGCTTCTCTCACTAGTATCGACATATATGGGACGTAGTTTAGTCTGTTTTGCGAGTGGTAGGGCGCAAATATTGTCGTTAAGGAGGCAGAATGCATTGTCAGCCCTATCTAATTTGACAGAAAAAAACTCATAAACACACATTGTAGCAAGTCAGAAGTTAATGGTTGTAATATTTGTTGGGTATAAACAGCTATAGATTATTTCTGGGTGTCAATTTTGTGTGGTTTTGCTTGTAAAACAGCATAGCATATGGTATATGCTATATGTGATTGAGCAATTTCGATATTTCGAAAGATTTGCACTCTCAAATGTTGTAAAGTGAACAGTTGCATAAGATTGCTGACATGGTTGCTCTGGGATTCATCTTTGCTATGGATAGTTTCAGCGAAAATGCTGATGTACGGTCAGAAATAGAAATGAATGTCTAGACACGTGGTTGCTGATTCCTATTTGTCTACAATCATTTCATATTATTGTTTGTACTGAGGGATCTTAGCTGCTTTGCGAAGCAAAATAGTACCAATCTCAAATTTCATTTAGCTCATACAGCTTAGCTTTTTTCTACAGCTTTACGGATCATACTGAAGCATTGTGGCATCGTATATCTGTTCCATAGAAAGTTGGAATAGTACTAAGGCAAAGAATAAAAATATTATCTAAATGATTCAATTGGCAAGTGGCAGCAGTAGGAAGAGTATGAATTCTTCTAAGCTTCCTTTGTCGTCAACATCAGCCTTAATGTTCTAGCTCTAGCTGTTTGAAAATTTGAATCACTGCTTGAGTTCTTGACGCGCATGTTGGACTCTTCTTTGGCCAATGAAGTTCATTTCTAAAAGCCTAAATATGAGACTTAACTCTGGTTTATCCACAGATTTTTTTGCCACTTCATTCTCCAGCCATTACACTATGTTGAAATCGGCTGCGTTGAGGTATTGATTGGGAAGTTGTTGAGGTGCTAGTTTTGTCATACTTCCGCGTCGAGATTCACCTCCGAAAACCTGTGTTTGGATCTATTTAAGTCAGCATTTCTGGAATTGTGTGGGGATCTTCGATTGGGCTCATAAGTGCAAGGAGTTTGTTTTTGCGTGCAAATGATTTGAGCATGTTTCATGGGCATTGATGATTTCTTCTTCCGCGCAGCCCCAGATAGAGTAGTTAGCGTATTTCATTTCATTTGTTCCATTTTGTGCAGTATTTCCGGAGCGTTTCACCTGGAGAAAAATAAAACCAACTTAATTCACTTTATACAAATTGCTGTTTTTGAGTTGCTTTCAATAGTGTAGTGTAACATCAATAGGGCTCGTTATTTCAATATCAAATTAAACACTTTAGTCGAAGAGTAATGTATTTGTGTTATACATGACAACTTTTTGGTGCCAGGAGAGCAGTTGTTCTCAGGGCTCGGCACAGGTGGCTTACAAGCAAGCTGGATATCGTTTTTGGGACGAAAAGCAAAGGGGGTTTCGTTTTTGTGAGCGAAGAAAATTGAAAAAAATTACGGAAAATTGACGACGGCGACCTTTTTTTTTAGTCGACGTTTCGTTTTTTGGGGGATTTTCGGGAATTTTACAGGTTTTTAGAAGAAATTTGGTTCAGGGTCAAAGGGGACTTCGTAAAAATTCCCAAAAGTCAAGGGGGACTTCGTTTTTTCCATTTTCATCTAGCCACCTCGTGCCGAGCCCTGGTTGTTCTAATTGACGTGTTTTTCGTATCAGCTATTAAATTTGAATAGAAAAAAAATCTTTGTATCAATTTCCATCTTTTTAGGTACAATCAGTTGGCACGTGAGTGGACACAGAAATACGCGATGTGACCTTCGCAATGCTTGGACGTTTGTAAAAAAGAACCTTTTCAAAGTCTCCATCCCACATATGTCTTTTTGTGTTTGGTTGAGCATGCTTTTCCTCTATTCGTATCCGGTTCTCGTATCGTATTCTATTTTTGGATGCGTTTGAAGATGAGATAAATTTTTTCCTTAGTTTTTATTTCTGTGGTAAAAATGGAGGTACTGGTTTTTAAACCAATTATACAGACATCTGGAACTTCTGCTGTTTGGGTGCATAGGATTCAGAATTTTACATGAGGATTCAGATGTCTCAAGCAGAATTCGTGCCATTTTCGACGTTTATTGATACAACATTTTGGGCGGAATTGAATCGAAGAAAGCTGCACGAATGGCGTTTGGATGAGACACCTAAGGAGATATTCGGATCTTTCTCATTGTGTGAGTCTAAGTGGGTGCTCGCTTTCATGATTACAAGGACGCAGTTTTTTTTTTTTTGTTTCATTTACGCCATCAGTGCAGATTTACAGTTCTCTTCATGGGGAAGTACTTTTCGGGTTTACGGTGCTATAGACTTAATGCTGTCTTCGTAAGAGAAGATTGTTTTTTTTTTGAGTCTGTGGCGCTAGTGTAAAGTTTTTGCTATTATTTGTTGGTGCGTGCACTCTAAACCTTGTTTTAATTCCGCCGTACAAGCGGTTATGCGGAAATTTTGAAAATGCAAGGTTTTTTGGGTTTATTTGACGCGGCGTCTACAGCAAACCATCTAGGCGCAGATGTGAATCAGAGTGTTCGAGATGCAATCGATGGTATACATCATCATTAGAAGTTTCAGTTCAGTATCTGGTCTAGCAATAAGGTTTGATTCAGAGTTGGCTTTTGGGATTTTGTTGATGGGACTTCTTTTTATATCGGGGTTAAGGTTCTGATTTTTAGAACGCAAATTGTCTAAAATGAAACTTGTCTACTAGCAACGAATTTTGATATGATGTAGGGGAAATATGGGTCGCTTTCTGCCGTAGTATTAGCTTACAACAGTGTAATGTGATTCGATCTTTGCTATGTGAGAGTCTGTGTAGGATATGAGATATTCGACGTGCTTGTATTCGGTTATTCGAACATCTTGATAAAAATTCGTGAAGGAATTAATCCATTGGCCTTACTGGTATAATGCACCCATGTTTTTTGACTTGCTTGTGGCTGTCGGAGGATAAACTGAATCATAAGGAGAAATTCTTATATTATAAACGAGTTGACTGGACCATGAGAACAAATTTGGTAGGCGGTCCTATCTGGGAATGTTATTCATATATTTCCAAGAGTGTCTATCAGTAAAAGATGCTATTCCTATGATTTTCGTATTTTCTACATCGTATATTTTTAATTTCTGCCGCATATTGGCGAAGTGACGCCGGAAGTTTCCCATGCCCGCCTCCCTTGTTCTCGGAAACTCTGGAAAAAAGCTTATCTTCGCCATTTTCATGGCGAAAATAAGCTTTTGATGGGTTCCTTATGGCGAGAGGGCTCCGAAAAGGTGAAGTTTGGAGAACGAAATTCTGCCAAGCCACTGCCTTTAAGCAATTAGTAAGAAACTTACATGAGAGATTCCGTCATATAGAAGCAGTGTGCCGGTTGCTGCCCGAAAGAAGACCTGATATTTGTTGCAGTCGAATCTGTCGGTGAGAGTTGCTGGCTGTCACTTGGGCATGAAAGTTTTCTACAAGGCCAGACTACTGGTTACCATGGACGGTTGCTTCTATTTAACACTATGGAGAGTTTCAAAGGGTTGGATCGGAAGGAGTTGCTAAGATCAGAAGCGCAGAAGGTATTAGTGCAGTGCAGTACATGAGTACAATAACGGTGGTGAAGAATATCAAAATCACAGAGTTGCAGATTTGGGATATCATTGAGTCAGGAGAATGGCTTGATTATCCCGATCGACTGACATCATTCATTTTCACTGCGTATGCTGACCTGAAGAAGTATCAGTATTATTATTGGAACTGTTTCCCGACGCTTTGCTATCCGTTTGATATGACGCAGAAAGTAAGAACTTATGTTGCAGTAATTTTTCGAAATCTCGCGTCTGATGCATCTTGTCACTGTCGCTCAGGTCGTTCCCGTAGCTGTAGATGAGAGACTTATGCAGTATTTCGATGGAACGAAAGCACCAGTTTTCATGTGGAAACCAAATGGAGATTGCTTACCAATCAGTAAATTGTCTGAGATAATAGGTTCGGAGGAGGTGAAGGTAAATTATAGTCCTCTTTGCAAGCAACATTTTTTGCGTAGTATTATTCCGTACTTTATTACGCAGATAAAATGATCGTGATTGGTTTTGTCTGTCCGATCTGACTAGGCTTCTACGTAATATTTTAGGTAGTTTTTGCTGACCCATCGCCGGTGAGAGGCCGTGCTGGATGGCCACTACGAAATTTGATAGCGGCTATCGCGCGCTGCAAACCATCTTGGAAGCGATGCTCGTTTATATCTTTGCGATCGGGAAATCAACTAGAAGAATTTGATATCTCTTGGACAGCTGGAGAGGTAATTCAGTGTAGATGGTTCGTTTACCAGCATTTCTAAGCATATCTAGGCGACAACTTTGCCCCCTACTGTCGGTTGGGAGAGAACACATGACGGGAAAATGACGCCTCAATTTGCTGACATGAAGAAGCAGTTCGATCCTAAGAAGTGGGAAGCATGTGCATACACATCCCAGTCATGCATACACCGTTTTTAGGTTGATGGATCAAGCTGTAGGTTTGAACCTTTCTCTCATCAAGTGGAGACTTGTACCAGAAATGCGATTGGAACGTTATTCATCGTTGAGGGTGCGTCGATTTTCTCTCTCCTGTACTAAATCCATGGTTATTGACATTAAGCTTCATACCTACCGTACCTAGTGTTGGGTCCTTCTTGGCTGACTTTGGTCAGTTCTATGTTAGGATCCTGGTCCACAAGAAAGCTATAGAAATGAACATAGAATTGGCGACAAGATGTCTTCATTTAAATATGCATCTAACATACTTCAATTATAATTCGGCTTTTCTACATGCGCTTACTGAGAAAAAGCAAGCATCAGTTAGATTTCCATCGTTTGAGTAGACATATTGATCAGCTTGCATCCTTCCATAGCACAAATGTAAACCCATTTAGCGCAGAGAGCCATTAATCGCAAATCTGAAATTCAAAGTTTAAATTCAACACCCTGTTCAGCTTCCGCTTTATCTGGCCTAAAAATCTTTGATGTTTTCAACTCTTCACCTGAACCATAGCACAAATGTAAACCCATTTAGCGCAGAGAGCCATTAATCGCAAATCTGAAATTCAAAGTTTAAATTCAACACCCTGTTCAGCTTCCGCTTTATCTGGCCTAAAAATCTTTGATGTTTTCAACTCTTCACCTGAATGAACCGATGATTTATCACCGGCTCCACTTCGTATGGAGATGGACTCGTGGCATCTCATAGCGTGGCGGTTTTTGGTAGCGACAGAGCTACCAGCTATAACGTGGAGGTTTAGCGAGTTCATTCTAATGATCATAAAAATATCTGGGAGAAGACCATACATTTATTTGATTACGGTTTTGCATACTTTTCCCATGGTATAAGTTATTAGATATTCAACGTGCCATTCAGGTACTCATATTCGGAGCTGGTACGCTAGGTTGTAACATCGCTAGATGTCTGATGGGATGGGGCGTCAAGAAGATCACATTTGTAGATAACTCGTCAGTGAGCTACAGTAATCCAGTGAGGTGGGTTGCCTAAAGACGCCGATTTTGGCGTTTTCTTTTATTTATTTGGAAATCTTCCCATTCTTTGCCAAAAAAGTTGATTTTCGAGTGACTTGACTGAGTTGTTATTCTTTTATCTCACCTATCTAGAACTTAACGCCTATCTTATCTAACAATAAGTCAAAAAATCACAGGGTCATTCGTTCAGTCACCCAGAAAATCAGTCGAAGATTAGTGAATATTGCCTCTAGTGTACTTATATGCTTGCAGGCAGTCGCTATCAGATTTTGATGATGCTCGAGAATCGCGTGGTAAAGCTGAGACAGCGGCGGCTGCTTTGCAACGTATCTATCCCAGTATGGACTCACAGGCGGTGCGATTTACGGTACCTATGCCCGGACATACGGTATCGTCTAGTGGTTGGTGCTATGTTTTCATTACTCCTATGACGTTTACGTTTGTCTTTCAGAAGAAGCTTCCTTAGAAAGAGATGTAGCATTGGTAGATGACCTTGTTGCAAATCACGACGTAGTCTTTTTGGCGCTGGACAGCAGAGAGGCTAGATGGTTGCCAACAGTTCTGGCTACCATACATGGGAAGGTTGGCGTTTGTTGGCAAGGATAGATTTTATTGCGCACAACATTGATTCTGAATATTCAGATGGCGTTCAGCGTGGCATTAGGATTCGACAATTACGTTGTTATACGCCATGGTGTTCGAAATGCTGCTATGGATCAGCCATCCACTTCTGGTGCGTTTCCCAAATTCGCTTCCACTTATTTGAGCAAAACACTTGGTGCTAAATCTAGCATCCCAGCTTTTTGCTGCTCCTTGAATAAAACTTACTAGTCATGGCTTGGTTCAAATTGTCTCTGCTCACTTTCACTAATTTCAGCTGCCGTATCGGTGAAAGAAGGTACCGTAATACCGTACTCGGATCTTGCTTGTTATTTCTGCAGTGATGTGACGGCACCAGGGAACTCAACAGCCGACAGAACTTTGGATCAGCAATGCACAGTCAGCGATGATTTCCAAGATTATCTCATTCGCACTCTATCAAATAAGAAATCAACATATTTAGGTAAGTCGACCAGGCTTGTCGATGATAGCATCAGGAACAGCAGTGGAACTGCTCTCTTCTGTTCTGCAGCATCCGGATCCATTGACTGCTCCAGCTAACATAGGAGAACTGGATGACTCGTCGTCTTTATTGGGTGCCACACCACATCAAATTCGAGGATTTTTGTCACGATTCAGTCAAGTAAGAGATTTTCTTGCCTTATCATCCTTTCCTCTAATGGCATTGCAGATGACTCCTTGCGTTAGACGTTTTGAGAAATGTGTAGCTTGTGGAGACATCGTTACTGGAGAGTATCTCGCTAGAAAAGCGGAGTTTGTCAAGGAGGTTTGTAGTCTCTATTGAACCGCTTGTTTTCTTTTTTTTTGCTAGCCATCATTTATGTCCTTAGATTGTTTTTGCTCCCTACTTCCGTCAGAGAATCAGTGTGAAATTTTAGTTCGTTCTTTCTAGGTAATGAATAGCCCCTCATATTTGGAGAAACTAACTGGTTTGGATCAACTGCAAGCATCGATTAACGACGTTCATATCGAGTTCAGTGATGATAGTGATTCAGTAATGTCGCTTTAATTTTACCTGCCCTTGCAATGATGCTTGAACCACGACGATCTTTTGTTAATAATTCTGTGATGAGACTTTCACGGGTCTATTAGGCACTGGAATGCTTCTTCGTATATTGTTACTCGACATATTTCTTCGATTTTTTCTTTTACCCTCCGTTATGCAATAACCTCGCACCGTTAATGAAGCAGTTCACTTGCCATATCAACTTTCACTAAGCTTAATACCTGATACTTAGTCTAATGTAAAGGACGGGACTTTTGAACTATGTCTTTTGCGTGTTATATTTTACTTTGCTATTCTCATTTCGCAATATCAGTTAATAAATTTTTGTATTTTTATGTATTCTAAGTTTGTATGGTTACCTAGTTTGGGTTCGCATCATATTGTCGAAGAATTATAACCTTTGTAAGATTTGAGGTTGTGTGAGAGTGCGTCAAAGGAATTGCATGCTTGCCTAGAGTTTGCGTATTGGCCGCGGATCTTCCGCGATGTGAGTCTGCAAAATGGACCAGAAAATGGATTCAAAGTGTTCGCATTGTGGCAAGGCTTTTGCTTGCAAAAGGTGTGTTGCAGATTTTTTGATCTCAGGCCCACTTATTTGTGTGGTTTTTTGCATGAAATTGTTCTCGTGCCGGATATAGTGATTGCCTTTGCCAAATCGAGCTCAAAAACGAAAAGAAGTTCTAGCCAGACAAACAAAGCAATACTTCGACTCGTTGTTATATTAGCCTACTTCTTCCAGATACCTGGTGAAGCATGTGGCAAGGGTGCATAGTAGAGATAAAGAGGAAAAGAAACCGTTAGAGTGTGGAATTTGCGGAAAGGTGAGGCGAGGTAGGCGTACTCAATTAACCGTTATTACAACTTGAACGTCTAATGTTGTATACAGGATTTCCCTCGCCTTTCTCATTTACAACGGCATCAGTTGATCCATATAAAGGAAAGGGAATGGGGTTGCCCATTTTGTGAGTGCAGTTTTGTACAGAAGGTGAGACATTTTTGAGAAAGCTACCGAGTTTATTAAGCATTGAGGCTTTAGCCGCATTTGATTCGTCACATAGGCCGCCGCCATCCTACGGAAGAGAGTACGGGGCTAGAAGATAAGATCAATGCGAATAAGTGGAGAACAGAGAGTAGTGAGTGTCTTACTTTTTTCTTTAGAGCTAACTTCGCCACAGCCAACTTGAAATTGATGGTTTTGGGCACCACCTTTGCACATCTGCGAGGTCGTGTATATAGACAGAGCCTCAAAATCGCTTTTGTGTAAGAAGGGGATGCGAAAAGTTTCCTTGGAATCTGGATGTGCACTATCTTGCGCTATATGTACAGTAGAGGCAGCAAGCTGGCACTTTGCAAAGTCGATTCCTAACAGGAGGATTAGCAGTTAAGATAATTTTCATAGTAAACATTGAATGTTTTTAGTTCCTGTCCAGCTCAGTACCTCAGACAGTGTTGCCAAGACCCCACTGACGCCTCAACTCTGCGCCGATCTCATTCCCGCTCTTCTTTGCATCACATGTGGGGCAACGTTTTCGACCAGGACAGACCTAGATCGTCATGCTGCCGTAAGTCTCACGGATCTCTTTTTTCGAGCTTACCCTGCTCACAGTCAGCTCTCTTTTTCAGAATACACATCGACCATTAAAGTGCAGACACTGCAGAAAAATCTTCAATGGATATGCAAAATTGAAAGCGCATGAAATGCAACAACGAGACCAAGCGCATGTCTGTTCCTGTGGTGCTTCTTTTGTACGCGCTGCTGAACTACGGTAATTTTGAATGCACGAACATTTCAGATGTGTCATGGTTGAAAGTTTTAGGAATCACAAGGATTCTTGCCGAAAACGTGGATCATTTCTCTGCGTAGTTTGTGAAGAGGTTTTTACGCAACGGATACAGGTACTTTTTCTGCTTCTTCCGTATTTCAAAGGCACCGTCCACCCAAAATAGATCGATGAGATTTGATGCCGAACAGTAGTGGGGCCCCCAAGAGTATACTTGTCCAACTCGCGCTGGCAGAAGTTGCTTCCGAAGCAACAGAATTGCTTCGAAAATCGCTTGGATGACAGATTCGTCACGTTGTCTCCTCCCTTTTGAGTGAGCGTGACGTTCGTCCCGCCCATCCGTGCGCGCCCAACCAATCACTGTTCCGTAGAAATCGCTCTGCGAGTTCTGAAAACGGGAATTTTTTGTGGTTTTCGCGGATTTCTGATTTGATATTTGGAATCGGGGGTATGAGAAGGCCCTGGAACGGCAAAAACAGAGGCCGAAATTTTGGGTGGACGGTGCCTTCAAAACGATCTGTTCCCCCTTCTCCCAAATTGGATTTCTCATTATACTTCTGTGCATTTTTTTGCATTTCTTTCTTGTAGCTGGACAGACACTGGAACAAGAAGCATTTTACAAACTCACGGTGCCCCTATTGTGAATGCACCGCAGCAGCACCTCTTCGCTTGTCTGAGCATGCTTTGAAAGAGCATTCTAAGAAAATGTTAGTTTGGAATCTTGCAAATTTGAAAGAATCCATTCACTCCATTTTTTCGTTTCAGATGTGGTTACTGCGGAGTTAAAAATCCTCTAGCTGATCACGTAGCAGCGACCCACTGGCGACGTCTCAGCAAATCTGTGGCTTTGAAAAATAAGCAACGGTACTGTTCTCTTTGGATTTTCTCCTTTCATTTTGTTATCGATTCCATTTTTTAGCAGAGGGAGGCATGGTGATAGTGTAGCGGTGGAAGAACAAAGCATTGATGTCGACGAAGGGAAGGAGTTGAGCAGCGGTGACGAATCCATTTCTGATGATGCGCATGAGTCACAAATTTGTGAGTTCAAGTCTTGCCTTCATATGAAACTGTCTGAGAGCCTTGTACAAAGCTGCTAGCCTCGGATATGATTTAGCATATCCGATCTTCATATCAAACTACAGGGTGGCCGGTATGGGCGGGTATGGGCGTTATAGCGTCTAATATGAAGGCAAGACTCTAGACTACCATTTCGGATCAGAGCATATTTCGCAAAATTGAGTTTGCGTAATATTTTCAGGTCACTGATGGGTCCTGTGGTTTAAAGTGTTATTCTGCTGGAAGTACTCCAAGAAGTGTATACAGAAGTTTACTCGGTTTGCCTAAAAAGTTTCGCCGTGAACTAGCAAATTCAAAAACTTCAGGAAGCATACGACCCATCGGTGGGTCGTATTGTCCGAAATGGCAGGACACGTACGACCCTCCGGTGGGTCGTACTGTCGTGAATGTGTTAAGACGGCCAATATGCCTGTAGCTTATGGACATCCTCTATATTGAGATATTTGAATATCGCGCGAACTGATGTCTTCTGATGCAAGCGTGGCTCCCGAGTTTGCTTCCACTTGGAAGGCTCTGCAGCGTGGTCATCAGCACCATGTTTACAATACTTTTTTTTTATTTTGGAAGAGAAATTACTGCTGTCACGGCACTACGTTATTCCTTGGACTACGCTCTTTAAAACCTCATACCTTTTGAACTATTAGGGTGATCCAAAAGTAATGGGGCAGCTAGAGAATAAATGCAGTTTTCTCAAATAGAAAAGCTAATTGGAAGTCCAAGTTTTGGCAGATGTTAGTACATAACAAAACCTTCTGATCGAGGTTTATAGTTGGGCACTGTCACATGGCGTTAATTCTATAAGCGCTTAAAACTGAAGCTCACCACTTCAAGTAATTTTGAACTTTGAGCAGCAACGCCGCAGTAAAACAAGTGAGCCTACCAGAGATACGTGCGCAGCAATGGGTGAGGGGACTGTCACCAAATCCACAATAGCTCGGTGGTCCCAAGGCTTTAGAACAGAAGATATAGCATCGGGTATCAGGAGACATATTACTTATTCTTTCATCAAGGTAATCAAATAAGCCCAAATATAGCAGTTGCTTTTTGATAGTGCTTTTTAAGCTCTATCCATACATATGCAAATTACTTTGACTTTTCTCATTTTCAAAAGACTGTGTCCCAAAACATGAATTTTAGCCTGAAAATCTGCGCCAAACACCGCACTTTTTCGAATAATGAATTTTAGCCTGAAAATCTGCGCCAAACACCGCACTTTTTCGAATAAAGTGCCTTTTTTGTATAAAATAATGTGCAATTTTTAAATATTCAAGTAATCATTAGAAAGAGTTTGGAAAGCTCTTTCGAATGGTATGCCATATGTCGAGGGACTATCAGGTGCAGCGGCCCAAATTTGAATGGCGTTCAAAAAAGTCTGTCTGACTTCTTTGGAGCGCCACTCGAAGAAATGTCGGTGAGGTGCTGCAAGGTGCTGTCAAGATAACCTGCGAAGGTCACTTTATACAAAGGCGTTAAAAATGCTAGGCGTTCTTAGCTAATCAGAAAGAAATCTTGAAGAATGTTTAAAAAAATCAAGGTGCCCCATTACTTTTGGATCACCCTAATATTTGACTCGTAAGAAGCGGATTATCGCCCTGGATCCGCAACGGATTATTTACACAGCAATTTATGACTCATAGCCTTCAAGATAAGCTGGTGAAGTCTGTGCAGAAGCCCAGCTTTGTAGAACTGACAGATTAGGACGCCTTTGTTTTTGACATGCAAAAATAACCTTACAATCTCGTCTTTTTAGAGGCCTTTCAAATTTTTGAGAAATTATAGAAGATCGTTGCATGACCTGCCTAATCTTATCATCTTAAAAAAGATTCAAAACAGAAACATTGGATCAAAAACCCATGAAAATGCAAATAATGGCAGTTTCGTGAATATTTCGCTCATTTTTGCAGCAAAAGCCGTGAAACTCAGTAAATGGTAACTTCGAACAGCTAGTAAGCTAAACGACTTTCTCTGGAATTTTTTAAAAATTTGTGTAGTGCAGAAATGGGCTTTTAAGTTGGTGACAGCCAGAGAAATCGCGCCTCTTGACCGTCTCCCCTTTTCGGCCACCCTGTATGATTATGTCAAGTGCCAGCCGAAACTGGAAGCTGGCTGTTTGCCTTGATGGTATCCAGGAGTCTTTGCTAGTCTGAATATCTTTGGAAGTTTTCGTCAAATCACAAATACTTATAGTATCGCCAGTGAAGGACTACGACTCGTCGACTACGTCGACTTCCAGCTCGGATTCGGAGAGCACACTTGTAGATCGGAAAGATATCGACTGCAGTACCAGCTGTAAGATCCGTTCAAATTACTGGCATTAATTGGAATCTGCTGGTCGAATTTTCTTATAGGTGACGCTAGAAATTCCGAGGATTGTTTTTTGAATGTGGTGGTGTCGGTGCCGGATGATGTTGTGGATGAGTTTCACTTTGGACATCGTTTGCCGCCCGAAATTTTACGTCTGTTTCCCGAATTTTCTAGCGCAAGTGGGCATTTTATTCCATATTTATTGTTGTCACCATGCCATAGTGTCAAGCTGCTCATTTTACTTTTAGAGCTTTCCCTCGTGGAGCCGTTCATAGGACAAAGTCGCTTTTTGTCACTTCACATTCCAGTATCTAAACCGCCTGAAGGCGATACGGAAGTCGCAAGGCTCCTGTCTGTGCCGATCTACGTTTGATATCATTTACCATATATTGCATTCCTTGCCTCGATTGCAGTCTTGCTAGTGTTTTGCATATACTTTTGGGGAATAGCTCAGTATAAAGCCGTTTAGAAGATAGAAGCTTTCTTCGAGCAGGAACTTTTGATCGATTTTTGATCTTAACGGTTATGGTGAGCGCTTTTTGAATTTTTTTTGACCCCACCGTCTCTTCATTATTAGGACCAGCCTCCACCTGCTGGAGCTTTGCGGCACTCGGTGTCACTTGTGTTTTCCGTAGTCTTGTGCAATTATCAATGCTTCCTTCCACATGGGTATTTTTTGTCAAGATTGACATTCTCGCTACACAAATGTATCTAATTCAGTATAATTAGCTATTTGTTAGGCCCCGGATAGACTTCACGCGATTTGATCGTCGCGACTCAATCGCCGACATTTCCATTCATTTTCATTTCACATTCAAAAATTTCGGGCTGGAAAAGTATCACAACCGAAATGCAGTTTGATCGGCATGGAATGATGTTGTAACAGTTGTCTCGTTGCGATTCAGTTGCGACGATCAAATCGCGTGAAGTCTGTCCGGGGCCTTAAAGCGGTTACTTTTTTGAGATCGTTTTTTCTTTTCAAATAAATCTACTTCTTTTCTTTGGCTTTCATGTTACATCCGTTTTAAAGACGGAATACTTGGGTCAGTGTACTGTGCATGTTTATAAATTTGTGAATTCCGAATTCTTCATTTTAATCAGCAGTCACCGATGCAAATCACAGCCAAACTACTAGGCGGAAAAGACGATGTGGCGACGTTTGAAGTATGTTCTTATATATCTTCTTTATCCGTACTGGCACTTGAGTTCCACCGCTATTCTGCAGCTGATGGAACAAGTTCAAGTGCAGCACTTGAAACGGAAAATTTCGGAAGAGTTCATTCTCCCAACAGGCTCTTTCAAAGTGCTGAATGCTGGCAAGCCGCTTCATGGTAGGTGTTTTTGTAGAATATGCTGTACAGGTTTACAGAGCCTATCTCCTATTTTCGCACTGGAATTACAATATGCATATCCTATAATTATGACCCACTAATTGTCGATCTTATTTCATTCAAAACGCAGATGACGATCTGTTGTTACCTGCAGCTGGTGTAAGAGATGGTGCCAAGTTGACAGTCGTGCTGAATCCTATAGAATCGGTAAGTGAAATGTTGTAAACGGAAAATTGAACTTTTGCAGTTTTCTGTAGTGAATTATACGTTTACAGTCGGACCTGAGCCCGGAAGAGCAAGCGCAGCTAAAAGTTGTTCTGGGCGAAGCTGCAACACCTCTTAACATGTTTCGTCTCAGCAAGGTATTTATACTGTGTTCTTTATATTAAACATTCTGCTTTCCTATCTTTGATAGTATGACCGTTTGAGTTTGGTTGAAATTGTTCGTCTTTTCGGAGGACAAAGTACTGAGAAGGGGACTTCGTAAAGACCTTCAGGCTTGAAATCAAATGGTTATAGTTTATATCCGCATTTATTTGAAAGTATAAGTTTTCAAACAGTGTTCCTCAATCAAAACTCACCATTCCTAATAGCTGGACTTTGAGATTACTTCTTTTGGGGGGGGGGGGAATCTGAGATTCTTTAACGCAGATCCGGAGAGGAAGCTTCTTTACCGTGGTTTTGGCCGCTAAAAAACTTCATGGTAATTTATCGTGAAATTCAATGGCAAGGGTTTCGGTGTCTTTCGTACCTTCTATTTTTCGCTGAATGCGTGACATCTTTTACAATTAGTGCTAGAAGCCAGCCCACTTTAAGATTAGCGCTTCATAACTCTCAGATGGGTTGCTTACCTTTTCTTGAAGGCAATGTCCACGTAAATCTGAAACTTTGTTTTTCCTGGGGAATATAAGAGACCCTAATTGAAATACCTCCCCACCGGAAACGCAAGTGGTACCCACATGTACCTAGAAGACACGCACAAAAAGGTGAAGGGACTCTTGGCCCAGGAACGGGGAGGAAACTTGCCGATCATAGCGGCATTCAATCACTCTCCCAGTGTCTTCTTACGGCTTACTTACCTCGAGATAGTTGACTGTCAGTGCACAAGAGTTATTCAAAGGGTATCCTTATCATACCTCATCTGTATAAGCGTTGCATGCTAGTTTTGTTCTCAAAACGGTGTTTTCAGTGTGTGCAAAATTACGCGGATTACATGTCCCTCGATGATCTAGAACGTCTTGCCCGGAAGAGAAGAAGATAAGTACTGCTTTACTTTTGCTGTTAATTTGCTTCGGGTGCTATACCTAGTGATGTTCCACAAATTCACTTTAGTGTCAGATTTTGGAGAGCACGTTTCCTAGCTTAACAACCTGTACCTTTTGATTTTCTGTATACTATCGTTGTTTTCCATTTACATTCCCCTGTCACAATTTATGATGAAAGCTGAAACAGTAAAATATTTATGCACTCGTTTCTTGTTTTTATAACAAATGAAGTCGTCACAAATTTTCGCCTCGTGATGTGTAATGGGCCATGAAGGAGTTCAAAAAAAACCTGCATAATGCACATTGCGATAATCTAAAGCTGAGTGGATATTGAGATCTGAATTTGCTTGTTTCAATCAAGAATAGGCAATGGTAACGAGTCAGAATACAGGATGTTAAACACTCGATACTAAAGGAAATGTCGCTAAATTCTCGATCATAGTTGCGTCAGTGTGTTTTCTCACTTTCGTCCAAATCGTACAAAGCTTGGCTTTCGCTTTTCGAGGACGAGTGCTCGTTTGCCAAATCGAACAAACGATGGTTTTCGCTTGTCAATCTGCAAAAAGAACAGTACTCTATATTATTTTGATTTGCTGTCAAATAAATAATGGTTACATCCGTACAAAGGCGGATGTCCATACAAGGCAAAGGCACGTCGCAGCCGCAAGTTTTTATTGGCACAGTCTGCATTTTCACGCTCTAGCGATGGACGTGCTGCGGTCGCGCATGCTTCGCGAGTATGGACCACCGTCTTCGTCCGGAATGGCTTTTGCATTTACGCCAACAAAAATGATTCTGTAGTTAAGGTGTTGAATCCAGAATCAGAAATGTTTCAATTGTAAAAAAAAAAGAAATTTGACGACAGAATTAGCTAGAGTTACTCAGCTTGATGTCATTTGTCAAATTTTTTTGTTTTTAGAATGACTGGTGAGATCTAAAAAATATGTCAGCTTAGATTTCATGAATAAATGAAGAGAGCAAGAATTTTTTGTGGAGTTCGAAAAGTGGTGTTTGCTGCCAACTCAATGAACCATGGATGTGAAGCATTTAAGATAATTAAATTCATATGAGATTGGTCCCGTGCATGAGGCAAGCATTTTTTTGCTTTAGCTATTCAATTTGATAGGCAGGACGAGTTTTCGTATTCTCCACGTGATGCCAAGGAAATGTTTGCTCTATTTACCAAAGTGAAAATATCAAGGAAAGAAACTTTTTGGTTTAATTTTCTCGAAAAGAACATAGATGACCAATGAGCTTTCTAGCTCCAGCCATTCCCTTTGCTGATTTACTGTCTGCAAAATTACGCAAAGGCCTAGGTAGACTAAAATGTTGTGAGTCTTCCATTTTGAGTGTTGTTTTTCTAGCAAAACATACTCAAGGGCTTCTCAGCTGAGAACTGACATCAAAACATGGCGGCGATCCTAACAAATTTCACAAAAATGAAGCCATACCTGTGGTAGAGCGTCCTGTTCTTCGGCTATCAGTGAAGCTAGCAGTTGTTCACAGACTTCTCGATTTTGTGGCTGTGCGCAGTATTCGACTAATGCTTCCGAATCCTGAAAAAAAAACACTTTATGTATCGAAGACGTGTTATTTTATAAATAGCGATTCCCTTTATTTTATAAGTGATTCCTTCAATTTATAACAAGTAATTCCGTGGAGGACAGACTAGGCGTCATTGCGGACTCTCTCTGCTCGCAGAGTGTGAATTTGAATGGAGACGCAGACGATGAGACATTTATCCGCAACGAGTCTAGTCCGTACGTCATCTGCGTAACTAGTAGGAAGTATTTCATGTCTTTCATTTGCGAAGATTTAGAGGCAATTAATCCAAAGTGAGTAATAATGGCAACTAATTGAACATCTGCGTAGAGTACGATTCAAACTTTGATTGAAACGGAAAGGCCTCTCATGATCAAAGTGATAAATTCTGCAAATGCACATAATAAGTGAGTCACCAATGCTGTGACTCTGAGTGACGGTTAAACATTAGAGGAGACTTGGCAAATTTAATTATTACAAATCTTGAGTTGTCTGCCAATAGGTGTATTTGTACTACTTTCAGTAGCTTGCTACAATGTAGAAGCTAAAACCACAAAGTCAGGTAATCAAGCGCAATCCTTTTTTTTGAAGTTAAGAGGATCAAGCACGCAAGAATAACATCAATAAACTGAACATTAAATTTTGTTCTCTTATTGTGAAAAATCTACAAAATCATCCCTTTTTTGGCTGTTCTTGTGACGGTTTCTTGTTTTGGAGCTAATTTTCCTTATTCGGACATGTTTGATTTTGTCCAAATAATTTTCTTAGTTTTCATTTGATCAGCGTTAGATATATTTTTTAAAGAAAGTTGAAAGTTATTATTTTATACACTATAAAAGAGTTTAATCAACATATGCGAGCACTTCATCTCCGTACCAGTGGATGCGCGCGGGGGGGGGGGAGTGAACATCGGGACAGAATTTTTTGATTAAAGTATGGAAGCTATGCGTTCCAAGATTTTTGAGATGCTTATCAACTTTCTAGTGGGATAAATTTCTAAAATTGTTGAAAAAGAGTACGCAACAGCAGCCATCCCCCCCCCCCTCCTCCCATAAAAAATTTCACAAAGTAATCAAATGGAAGGTTTTTTATTCATTAGTAAAAGCGAGTCACTTACACAAATCTGTTCAATGTCGGGGGCTGCTCCTCCTAATAATTTTTTTGCGATTCCCTCATCAAGGATAAAGATCAATTTTCACGAATAGACTTATAATCTATAGTCTATACTATAGACTATAGTCTTCTTTTAGTACTAATTTTTACAAAATATGCGTCATCCTGACAAGGTAGCAACCTCAAATTTTAGTTTCACTACTTTTTATAGCTACTTTTTACACGATCTAGAAGAAATAGCGAACAATTCTCATCCCTAAGTTTATTTTGTACTTTTTACTTGGACTACAATGCATAGAGAATGAGTATTGGAAATTTTTACCCTAGAATCATCTCGTCCAGTGCTTTTTTGCTATGTCTCTGTTCTGGTCTTCTAGTTCGCAGCAAAGAAACGCGTAACCATGGCCATGTCATCCATCTAGTGACGATTGTTGGAATCCTTGTCATCTTCATGTTCTATCTTTTTTTACCTAAGCCGCCGGAGAGAACTAGAGGGTGAAGTGGAAGTGCCACAGTATGCGAGGTGTGAAACTTAAGCTTAATTGAGTACTTGCACCCTAAAAATAACTATTTTACTGCCACTATTTTTTACGAACCCTATAGTCATTTCGTGTAATTACGTAAGGAGCTGGGACTCGCATTATTGCTTAGTTTATGGGATTGGCTAATGGACAAGATGGATATGATGCTTGTTAGTACAGTCTGTTCCATTATGGCTTCATGGATGTGACGAAAAAATAATGACGATGAACTTGGGTCGTCATACTACTCGTTTAAAACCCAAATTTTTGCGTCGTGATATCCATCGTGAAAAATGCCGGGAGTCAAAATTTTCCAGGAATAGTTTTCAAAAACAACAAATAAATCACTGGCTTGCTAACAGTTTAGCAGTTCAGAAATCCGATATCATACATATTAAAATATCAGAAAACAATCGAATAAATCTTTACCCAGTCAAGTGGTATAGAATTAGCGGTTTCAAGTATTGCTTTGCTACTTTTATTTTATTTTATTTAGTTATTTACACATACGAAAAGCAAAAAAAGAGAAAATTCATTTGCTATTTGTCGCCTTGTGTTGGAATCTCCTACACTTTTTGCCTAACTCTTTCTTTGTTTCTTTGCTCAATACTTCAGTTCCAAATTCTCTAGAGAGATTCAATTTTCGATAAGCACTATTCTGTGCAAACAAAGTTTATGTGCTTTTTCAACCAGCTTTTGCTGACATTCTATTAGACCTTGAGCAAAAATGCTGAGGTGCATTTGGAGACGTTGCTCTTGCGTTCAAGATTGCTATCATGTTTACGTCTATATAATTTTTTAGATTTCTGCTTGTAATCTGAGATTAACTTGGCAAAAAAAACATTTTTGTCACATTCTTGGCTTTCTTCCAACATAAACAGAATGCTGCAAATGCACTGAATTATTGCAAATGAAAATTTTTTTCGTTTGTGATTTCCATTTCGGAATTCGGAAAAATGGAAAATTATTACGACATTACGACACTTCAATTAGACAAACTGGAGTGAAAATGTAGATCAAAATAAGAGCTTATGTGTACCCTATCGCAAATTTGAAAATATTGAAAAATCAAGTACCAAAGTTGATAAATAAACCGCATAGCCAACATTTCATAAAAAAGTGTGATGCTAGTTGCTATGGCTTAACAAAATAGAACTTTTGTTTCGAAACCGTAAGATTGCTAAAACGTTTCTGAGATTTTAGACCGGTTCTAAATGGCCATGGCGCGAATAGCAGCAGCCAGTCGCGGGCGCTTACTGTGAAAGGCTATCGCCTTGCAAATTACATATTTTAAACGTTATATTTTGCATATCTAAAAAAATTTATTTGCACACTTTTACTTTATTTTCAAGTTACCAAAGGGTTTCAACAATTTCTTCAAATTTTTTAACCAAATTTTGAGAGTTCAGTTATTTTAGTAGCTGCATTTTTAAACTGTCTTCTCAATGGGAACGCAAAATATGTTTCTTTTGTGTCAAACTTCGTATCAAAAGCGCAGTCAAGTAGTCAAAAAAGTTCTGAAAATAAAGAGGTTCTCAGTATCATTTGTGTTCATATCGAATTCCTGCATAGTGTGAAAATTCATCTCAGTTTGACCCCCCAATGTGCAGTTTGCGGAGAAATTTGCCCTCTCAACCGTACTGAACTCATAAATAAAGCGCGTGTGGACTTTAGTGCTAACTATATGACTGGGGGAGTGAGTGTTGACTACGTATATAAATCAGACTGGTACCTAAATCAAATAGGTAGTATTTGTGAGAATTTCGATTAGGTAAACGTTCTTTGCCTGAGAAAATTTTTGAAGGATGAATTTTTCTCGACTTGGATCTGTTTTATCTGCTAGATGAAGAATTCTTCCTCCAACCTATACAAGCTGATAGCTCTGGATCTTGAAAAGTGCGGAATTTTACAAAAATACTAAAAATCTGCATGAAAATCAGAATTAAAAAAAACTTAGCATCAACTAATACTTATCTAACTTATTCATTCCATTGCATGTACAAAGTACGAGTATTTCGTTTTTTGTTCTTCGAATGTCTAGGGCTACTGGCTCCCGTACTAGCACTGTTCTTCCATAGTTTAAGATCACGAGTGTAAACATAAAGCAAAAGATAAAGATAAAAATTGAAGAAATAATGAGCAGCCTATGCCGCCATATCGGAAATAACTGCAAATTTTTTTTACTTGCAAGAATTTTTGAAATTGAATGTCAGGCTAACCTGTGGCCGTATTATCATTGATACCTTGAAATAAACTCTACTTCTAAGTAGTTTTATCACTCATTATCAGCAAAATTACACTGAGAATTTACTTCAAGGTACTTTTGTGAATACGGGTACTTGCTGATAATGAGTGATAAAACTAGAGGTAGAAATTACCCCAAGGTATCAATGATAAATACCGCCACTGGTTCACCCTAAATATCGCTATTGAACTGACAAATTTTATAGATTTCCGTTGTTTTGAAAAATTTGTTTGCTCGCTATAATATTTATTTAGAAAGTCCGTTTTCGCAATCAATGTATGTTGAAAAGATGGTACAACTGCTCAGAACACGACTTATTTGTTTGCAAGAAAGGTAAATTATACAAAGAGGAGTAAAAAGAGAGCAAGTTCAAAGCAAAATAAAATAAAATAAATTATAAAATATATTTTTTCAAAAGATGCCAAATTTCTCAATCAGCAGTTTTCATCAGGGCTCGGCACGAGGTGGCTTACAAGCAAGCTGGATATCGTTTTTGGGACGAAAAGCAAAGGGGGTTTCGTTTTTGTGACCGAAGAGACACGCAAAATTGGGCGACCTTTTTTTTTAGTCGACGTTTCGTTTTTGGGGGGATTTTGGGGAATTTTTCAGGTTTTTAGAGGAAATTTGGTTGAGGGTCAAAGGGGACTTCGTAAAAATTCCCAAAAGTCAAGGGAGACTTCGTTTTTTCCATTTTTATCTAGCCACCTCGTGCCGAGCCCTGGTTTTCATGATTAGCTATCTAATTGGAAAGATTGAAGTTATGTAGACTAAAGGAGCTTGAGATCCAATGTTCTTCAAGGGTTCCCTATTTTTTATCAGCACAATGCTATTGAATTACTATTGAAAGTGTTATTTCGAGGAGCGCTTTGACTTGAAATTCTGTTCGGGCGAAATCTGATTATATGTCGACAAAAGCTACACTGCCATGCAAAAGTGAATCCTATTCGAACACCTACGCTTTTCCAGCTTAAAGGCCTTTAAGATAGCAGAAAAAACAGAATTTGACTAATGCGGTTTGTGCGACTAAGCTTGGACTGACAATGAGCTATTTTTCATGTCTTGCAGTTTGATTATGGCTAAGTAAAGCGCTTCAAAATGACGTAGCTTTTTATTTTTTTTTATTTTGAAAATGAAG